TAAAGTCCACGCACTCTGGGATATTTCAGTGTCCAGATTAGGTCATAGTCTCTTCTCACTTCATTGGCATGCTATAATTCGTTTATATTGTTAGTGAATTGCTAGTTTTCGAAGCAGGGAAGGGGAATCTCAATGGTTAACCAACCAAAATGGTGTTATTGCTTGGTTTTTACCAATTCAGCATTTCAACGCGTATTTCAGCGTTTTTTCATGCGAAATGAATCTACCATGTTAGAGATTGCGTGTACGTCATGGCATTCCAGATGCAGTTTCAAATAGAGGTGTTCCTACATATTCCTGTAGAAACTTCTAGTAGTTAAATAACTTTATCCTCTGTAACCCAATCATGGTAATGGGTTATTTGGTATGGTTGGGCACTTTTGATTAAAATAACTATGGATCCTGGGAAAGCTAACCCAAATCCTGTTTAAAATTCACGGCCGATCTTATTTAAAAAAGGCAAAATCACCCAAACATCTAAGGTCGCCAGTTACGTAGCATAGTAAATACAAAGATTGTTACAAAATGCAAGACTGACAAAATCGTGGAAGTGAAGTGTGTTTGTCAATGATTTGCCTATCGCTTTTTTACAATTAAGTAAATTTCCAAATGAACACTCAAACTCTTGTTTTATGTTTACCAACGTGATCTAAAATAGATACTTAAACGAAGAGGAGCGCAAAACCGTGTGAGATCTTGACAGTGACAGCCTAACAGCATCATGGGCTGTACAATCAGTTGGCGAAGGAGGCGGGTGGAAGGCCAAGTCAGCAGCAGGACACAATGACGAGTGTGCATGTCAGTTTAGTTTACGACACATTACTGCAGATGATAGGGTCTACTTCTATTTGCTAGTGCACGAATCCGAACACATGTGTAGGGCCTTGATTGTGAGCAGGAGTTAGTGATTACGATGCCGTATTTGTGATAAAAACAAGTTAGACAAATCAGCATTTTCAGGACTTTGCAGATCAAATGCCCAAATGTGGAAGACAAGTTTAATTTACAGAGTAGGGCATGTTTTGGGTTGTAGAAACAAGCCCTGAACAATACCACATTTAGATGAAACCACCTGAATAAGGTATCGAAACACATCACATCCATATGTTCGTATTCAGCAGGACAAATCTTCCATCCGTAATTTGAATTATACAGGCCGTAAACAGGGCCGATACGGTTGACTGAAAGGATGCTTTTACCCTAGGTCCATCCAAATAGTATAGATTTTAATTTGGCTTAAAATACTTTATTTTGAAACTTTAAGACAGGAAGTGAAGTTGGTGTCGAGCAGGAAAATGTACTTAGGACAAAGCTGTTCTACTCAGGCCCGTTTAGCAATGTCCATGTAGCAAAAGTACAATAAGGTCGGTAATTAAGTGCATTACGTATTCTAGAAACGAATAAGAAGCGCCAATATTTGCCAGGAAATTTGTAAATTGCCTGGATTCATGTTATATGAACGTTCATTTCGCACAAAAAGCCATGTTTAGTTTTGCAACAGGAGGTTGTAATAAATGCCATTTGACCGTGCCTTAGGTAATTGAAGTCGTAGTTTCACTGGCAGCCTAAACAATGCAAAACATGTCCAATTTTTCAAAGGACAACCGGCTGAATGTGTCATCTGAGTATATGCATATTTCAAAGCAGCTTCTTGGTATAAACAGTCATTCGTAGGCAGAGGATACCAGACATTTTAATCTTATATATCCTCCAAATATTTTACCGTCCACATCTTTAATTTATTTTTCTATCATTTTATAGGTGGGCCTTGTCTTGGTGCAAGTCCACGTGTGATTAGTTTTTGTGCTTTGATTTTTACCGAAACAACGCCCCATGTTTAAATTTTTCGTTATATTATGGTTCCTAGCCACACTTTAAACAAGTGAGAAATCAAGGCCCTTAAGAAAATGTGAGCTTGATTTTTGATTGATATTCATTATCCTAAAAGCCATTTTAATTCTCATTGATGATCCCTTGACGAGCAGCAAGCATGAGCGAATATGGGTAACGACGCATGAGGGCGCAGACATAATGGACTATGCCGGCCTCAGCCAATTTTCTCTTTGCATTCGAATGACATGCGAGGAAGATAGGCAGTCAACCAGAGACAGACACGAATGAGGAGCAGTGTATAATGAGCGACGTAGCCAGATTGGTGGACTCGGATGGACGGCGCCTGATATGTAGTTCCGGCTTGTGATTGGTCAATAAAGCCTGTCAGTTGTACCAGTCTTTTCCATACTAGGGCTCGGGTATTATAGGCATGATTCAATTGATTTTCGTGAATGCGCTTCGTTGAGGGATCGGTGTTTAGCCGATCCTACATTAACTGACTTGCTATCTTGTACATTACACACACTCGACTTAGGACTTCGAGGACAATTTCGTTGGGTTTTCACCATCGCAACCGTTCATCACCCCTTAATAGACGCGGACTTCTTTAGACACTTTGGTCTACTCGTGGACCTCAAAAACAAGTGTCCAATGGACCCTCTAACAAGCCTAAACGTCAGGTGCCCCTAAAGACCAATGTTTCTCAGATTACAACGTTACGGAAGCACAACGGACCCTATTCAGCTTTACATCGAAAATGTCCTCATTGCCAGTGAAATCTTGCTACCACTAACCACTTTACTCAAAGGAAGTTTAAAGAAATTAATCATGAAGGACGAGGCACATGAAGCCTCCACGGCTCCAAAGGAGACTCTAGGGAAGACAACCACATTGGTTTACCAGCGATCAGATGCCCCTCTTGCTCTTCTAACGGATACGTCCTTGTCGGCAGTTGGTGCAGACTTACAACAAACCATCAACGGATCATTTCAGCTCCTAGCTTATTTTTCAGCCAAGTTCAATGAAGCTCAAAAACGTTACAGCACTTTTAGTCATGAGCTTCTAGCTATCTACCTCGCAGTCAAGCATTTCAGATATCTTCTTGAGGGTCGGCAATTCACGATCTACACCGACCACAAACCCATGACCTTTGCCAACCGTTGGGGCTCGGATCGATTATCACCAAGAGAATTATGACATTTGGATTACATTTTAGAGTTTTCAACCGATATTCGTCACATCAATGGCGAGGACATTACGGTAGCCGATGCACACTCTCGTTCACACACCGACGAAGAATTGCAGGAGTTCCGAAGACAAAATACAGCCTTAAAGCTGGTTGAAGTCCCTCTATCTTCATCCACACGTACAGTTGTCCGCGACATTTCACCGGGTGTGCAACGTCATTTCGTACCTAAGACAATTCGACGCCAAGTGTTCCAAGGCCTTCACGGTCTTTCTCATCCTGGCCAACCGGCAACACGGAAGCTGATCTCAAGTCGGTATGCTTGGCCTGCTATAAATCGCGGTGTAACCCAATGGGCTAGAAATTATGTAAGATGTCAAATATCCAAGGTAGACAAACACAGCAAGACTCCTCTTGGACACTTTAACGTTCCCGACGCTAGGTTCGATCACGTGCACGTTGACACTGTTGGACCCTTACCGCACTCGAACGGTTTCCGTTACCTTTTAACTTGCGTCGACCGTTTAACCCGATGGCAAGGTGCATTCCCAATACAAGATATCTCTGTTGAAACCGTTGCAAAAACGTTCGTACTGCTCGGAATTCGATCAGCCTTAAAGGAAGATTTGAAGTGTTCCTTTGCTGAAACCGTTTTCAGAACAACACTTGGAATCCCTGGACAGTTTTTCACGGCAACATCCCCACCGTCATGGCCGGACACTAGCAGCTACGTAGATCATTTGAGGGAGGCGATGAGCAAACTGAAACCAATTCAACCTCATTCATCCTCCACTACATACCATATCCCGGGAGCACTGTCCTTTTGCATCCACGTTTTCATCAGGCACGATACCATTCGTCGTCCGCTTCAACCCACCTACGATGGACCTTTCAGAATACTCAGACGAGAAGAAAAGGTTTTCTTCGTCGAACGAAATGGAAAAGAATACGCTGTATCTATTGACTGCATTAAACCAGCTTTCCTCAACATGGAGACGCTGCCAAGCAACAAACCCGAGGGGCAGCCAACTCCCATCCCTAATGATAATAAAAAAACGGTTAATACTGGATGCTATGACAGGCGCGTCCATTGGTCCGATCGTTACACTTCCTCACCCCCCTTTTTCACATATCCAGACCATCTTCTACTCAAAACCGACCCACCTCAATTTTCGATTCTCGCCTAGTTTACCGCATTTTCAATTTCGCTTAACTCGCTTTAGTTTTTGACTCTAGCGCTCACTCCAGGTTCCAAACTCTTCCAGGATACCGTAATTCGACTGCACCTTACTCACGTCCTATCTTTCAGAGATACATTCGCCAACGGGGAGAGCTGTGGCAAGCAGCAAGCAAACACATCAGTCTTGAGCTAACGCTAGTAACAAGCGTGAGCGTACTTGATTCAAATGATTTACGTGAATGCACTTCGCGTAACTGTGCTCATTCAGAGATCGATGTTTGGCCGATCCTATGTAAACTGACTTGCTATCTTGTACATTACACACACACACACGACGACGACCTCGTCAAGCCGTTGAATAAACGGCTGACGCTTTTTTCCTTAACGGACTTCATCTTTGTTGATAGTTAGTGGTATATGGCGCTGTAACAATCCGTCATAAACTAACAGTGTAGCATAAGTGTTAGGATAGGCTAATGTTAACTGAGCAGCCGGAAATTTTCCGACTTGAAAGTGGCCAAAATGTTTCATGAAAAATTTTAAAACAGGTGGTAATTTGTAGTATTTTCTGGGAAACTACTAGGCGGTGACCTTTTCCAGCGGAACAATGCTTTTCTTATCAAATGCGCATTTTAATGTCCCAGAGAATTAGCGAAATGCAGTTTTTATCAAGAATTGGAATGGTTCGCTTAAAATTTTTCGTGGCTGCACTCAGACACACGAACACACATCAACACGGTCTCTTACTACAAAACTTGAGTCTGATCAACCCTTTTGTCCTCTTGTCGCCTGTTTTCGCCGTCATTTCATTTTTCTTAGGTAGAAGGCGGTGTTAGTTTCATTCATATCACGCTGCAAGAAGCTGAATAGAAGTTCCACCTCGAACTGAATGGGTAGTTTGTCGGTGATATGGTGCAATTCCTTAGCCACCTCGAGAATTTCACGTACCCATGGGTCCAGATGCTTGTTGGGACAACTGTCCTTAGTGTTCTTCAGCAGTTCACAGATAAAGGGAACGATATAGTCTAACGATTCAGGTCGGTTCTTGTATGCCACATAGATAAGAGACTTAATATCCACTCCAAGTTTGATTCCCTTGGCTAATGTGAGGCGACCAAGAAAGGCTCCGAAGCTTTTCAGTGACCGACCGTTGCTTGGGTTCAATTGGCCAGGTCGCAACAAATAGTCAATCTCTCGAGTTAACAAATCAAGAATAAGTGAACGAAAATGATTATGACGGTTTGATGCAAGGAAAACGAATTCGGTGTACATATCAACCAGGTTCGACTCCGTGGCGACCCGGTTGATAACAAATTCGGCTAACCAGCGGTAGAAGTGAAATGGCAGCTGTGACAGTAGCTCATTGGTCTGGCTTTTTAAGTTCTTTTCGGTGAGGTTATTCAGAATGAAACATATTTTTTTTGATAGGCATTCAGGTGGCTGTGGTGCACTGCGTAAAACCGATCTGGAACGCATCATCTCCTTATGTGGTCTCAAAAGTTTTCACCTGGCGGAAGTGGAAGCAATCCTCTCATATCAAACCACGCATAATTTAAAAACATCGATTGTCTTAAATGGACGACGTGGCCAAAAAATCGATTGACTTAAGCACTCTTGATTGGTTGAGCAATTACGCCTCATCACGCATTCAGTAGGCTTGTCCCGTATTAGGTTTTAAACTTTACTGGAAGTTAACCAAGCTTTGGTAATTTGTATCTAGTTGTGTACGAACTCAAGCACTATTGCCATTTAATCCTGTGGCTGGAAGTTAATGGAATATCAAGTAGAAAGTAAAATAAAAAATACGTTGCATTTGTGCATTTTCAGCAACATGACATCCGTCAATTAATGTTTCCTGACTTGTGATTTAAACACCAATTAAATGCAACGAAGTTTAAGCACAATGATTTTGATGACTTGCACATAACAGCCTGGCTTTCGTACTTAACACGACGTTAGTGGGAAACCTGGCCATTTTCAGCATTTCTTAACAATCACATCATTAGAACTCACGTGGCAAGTTTTCAAATGCAAGGGGAGATATAATTTTTGGAAAAGTAACTGCGGTTGTATTAATTATGGCTCGGGAGGGTCGATTTTTGCTGATTTTTAACCATTTATTTTGCAAATCCACAAGGAATCCGTCAGTCACACTGGAGCCTAAAGTGTTTAAAGACTTGATATAAAAGTGCGTTTAACCTACTACTCCAACTTTTGGCAACAATTGCGGCCGCTTAGTTCATTTGAATTTTCGCTATTCCTTGTTATGAGGACTAGTTAAAATGAATTGTCCATTCTTGTGTGTCAATTTGTTTTGGTCGTAACCTTCCCTTTCACAAATATTACTGGTAAATAAAATGAAGAGCCTTGTATACAGCGTTTCCCTGAAAACACTCCTCGGATTTCTCTAAAACTCTATCAAAGTCACTATTCCAATGCAAAATGAAATGAAACTGGCTGTAACTGAAGCAAAAAGAAACAAACATACCTAAAAATCTGGTCTGACAACTAAACTAATGTGGGCGAATTTCCAACAGTTTGCAGAATGTGCCTTTTAAAATGTGAAACATTAATACGTTTCGGAAAAATAGCTTTACGACAAGTCGTCACAGAAATGAACCTCGAATTCGTGGAAAGAAGTCCTAAACTAAGCATTCTTTTACAACAACACCGATTTCTCTATCTGACTAAGCCTTATAGTTACTTCGAAGCAAATGCATACGCCCAAGCGTCAATGCATATAGTTGACATGGCAGGCCTCAAAAACCTTCAGATACTTTGATGTAAAAAAAACTAGGCGGTTTCAGAGCCTCAGGATTGCCTTGAAAAATTGGCCCTTTTCACTAAGCAGTGAAGAAAAACAAGGCATGAAATGGGTATAGGGAAAACAGATTGAGTAAGTAGGTGTTTTGATAGGGGTCTGGTTAGAGCCTTAGTTGAAGGCGAAGTCCGTTCCAAGGGGTTAGCTATTTTCCAGCTTCGCGACTTGAGTGGGTGAATCATGTCACGACTGTCTTTTTTTCTATTTTCAAGGGAGGAGCCAAGGTAAGAACGACATTGGCAAAACGACATGTCAGGGACAGAATTAAGCTTAATTACTAAACAACTACATAGTTCTGTAATCGCGATATATTAATGACGATTCCATTCCTCAGTTAATGATTGGTTTTTTGGTCAATCGAAGAGATCCACTAGTTTTTAGATCCACTTTACACCCTTCCCAAATTCAAATTGGCTGAGTTCCTTTAAAGCTGGTGTTGGCTTAACTCATTTGAAACCGGATTTTTTTAGGTCAAAGGTAAAAATGTAATTGCAATGAGCGTTCCAAATACGTTTCAATAATCCTAAACATCGGGCCGTCCATATCAGCTTTTCACATAAACTGTTTCTCAACTCAGTGCTCTAACTTCCAGTGACGCCGAGGAGCTGTCAGTCGTCGAGTGACCAATCACACCACTTTAAAAAAACAAGACCTGGTTAGGATATATTATTGGATATTGGGGGCCAAAGAAGACAGGTAGAGAAAGCATAACTAGTAGTGAAGTCCAAAATGGCGAGGTCTCTGCCAAGGAGAAGAGCACGTCATCAATGTGGTCTAACTTGCAATGGGGCAGTGGTAATAGAAGATGCACCACATAATATTGCAACGTGATTCGACTTGTGAGAGGAGGGCAGCTACTACCACTTAAAATACGTTTATTAACTCCTTAACGCAATCAACCGTCAAAGTTATGCAACTATAGACGAGTCGGTACTGTTAGATCTTAAAGCAGTCGTCTTAGATCATAAAGGAGAATGTTTTCTATCTACTCTCTTGGAACATTGGTCATTTTTTGCTTTTTTAAGATGAAACAGCTTCAGTTCTATCAACTCAAACCCAACTTTCAAAAAAAAAATCAGCTTGAAAAACTGAAGGATAACAGCCAATAGCTTGTCTGAGCATGTATTGAGATCATTTATTTGTTCTGTGAATTTTTGCCACTACTTGTTTGTGCTTGGCAGTGGTTAATGCATTCGAAAAGTATGCTCGATACTACATGCCCGTTTTCACTGTTTTTCCAGTTTAATTATTCGTTGTTCAAGCCCCCATATTTGAGTGCTAAATTCTTTCGATATCACAAGCACGAACGCGTCTGGGGAAATTTATTCAATGCGAATGACGTCATAATAAGGTGCGTGGCACCCATAGTGTCAACTGAATTCCAAAGTGGTTGATTTCGATGAACTCGCTTTTTGAAAGAACTGGACACCATTCAAAAAAGGAGTTGGCAGACGAAATGGTTAGGTGTCGCCGCCTGGACTCAGTGGGCTGGGTGAAAAAAGGTGAGGGCGTGGGTACCACGTGCTTTGCGACAGCAACTGATCTGCAGAGGTGATCGTGAACACACATCAAAGGTTCCTTTGCCTAAATTTTAAGCGAAGGAATGATCAGGTGGTTAAGGAAAAGCAAACAGCACCGCGAGTAAAGAAGGCCATTTATCCTTGCTAGACGATGATTTGTGTGTGGTGGGACTGTGAAGGTCTCATTCACCGCGAAATGCTCTTGTGGAATCGGACCGTTGACCAGAGCCTCCGCGCTGGCCAATTAAACTGTTTTAAAAGAGGCCAGATGGACTCACCACACACTGCCCACCTCACCAAGACAGCGATCCGGGAGCTTGGCTAAAAGGTTTCAATGCCTTTCGATCCAGACCCCACTTTATCAGATTGAAAACCTCTCTCGCTAGTTTTAGAGCCGAATGCGCTACACGACATTCGACACCATAAATGGAAATCTCGATTGACATGACAGCAATTTCGAGGAGGCTATTGTGAACGGCTGCCGACAAACAGATGGAATGGTAGGATTACGACGTAAATTTACTGGTTCCGTACATAAAAGTACCTAAAGAACTCAGACAATTACCTTGTGTGCTTACACGGCAGCTTTCTATTAACTCTGAATAGATGATTACCTTTGAAAAGGAGACATGTCACAACGAGTTACGCAGCATCAAAATTCGGCTTTGCTTTAAATCTAGTAATAAAAGTGTGAAAAGCCGAATGATAATGCATTTACACTATTAGCTTTTGAACTCACAACAAATAAATTAAACGTGGGTTAATTATGACAATAAACCCTACCTTAAAACAGTAAGTATCAGTGCAAGGGTCGGCGACTATTTGCTAACACTTGTAAACTAAACTTGCTTGCACACATGCTCTATTAAAATGCTAAGTGAGAATTATCAGGCATGGTCGTGTACGTGAGCCTAACACCACGAGAAATATAGTGAAATATCTAAAATAGTCTTTCTATCTTAATAGAGTTAGTGGTACAACTCCAAGGCTGACTCAGTACCTCAGTCCTCCACTCTATTGCTCTAAGTCTGTTCATTGGGTACTAAGCGGAAAACTGGAATTTCGCGTACCCTGTCACGGGTAAAGAAGGGATCAAGTGTAAACTCCAGTCACAGGTAGCTTCAGTTGAAAACAGAAATAGGTCTAAGTTAACTAGGGCTTAATATGCCTCTCATTTGAGACCAATGAACTGTTGCAACAGCAGAAACGAAGTGTCACCCATACTTGTTATGTGCAAAGTTCGATACATCACACGGAAGCCAGAAAAGGGATACCTGTTCGCTAGCTAAAAGATCATTCATAAATTGTAACGCGATGTTCGGTGTAGAAGTTTACTCATGGTTAACCAGATAAACTGTTACTCACGCCTCGTGGTGATAATAAAAGTACTGGTGCTGCGTGGAGTCGCAATTTACGCGAGCGACGGCAATGAAGGATGTGCTTCGACGAGTAGAATGGATTTAACTTATGGCTCTCTTAACCTGTATAGGTTTTGTCTCAGTATATAACGTCGCTGAAAAAGAGAGATGCAGCATGCAGAAAATACAATATATACGAATTCGGTGGAAGTGAACTCTCTGAGGTTTCTGAATGCCGGAAGGCAAAGTCAGGGGTGGAGTCTAAGAGTTTGAATTCGTAAAAAGAGGAAACAAATGCAATCGAGGAGTCAAGAAGGCAACATGCAACGAGTTCAAGGGGTCTGATAACTTGGAGCACTTTTGTTGTTGGTGGTGAGGGAAAGCAGGAGCTTTGCTTTGCTGGCGCACAGGCGTACCTATACAAACTCGCGCACCCGTGTGAGAGGTGTTGGCGGCTGCGAAGATTTTACATCATTCGCAAAGCGAGGTCTGGTGTGTATTTCCCTCGATAGCATGCAACTGCGAAAGCCATAAAGTAATGTCAGTAGCACGGTACGAAAAGCGGCAGGGTGTCTGTCCCTCTACGAAATGGAGAAGTTGCTGTTACTGATTTCTTTTTGTATGGTTGCTGTGCTTGAGTGACATCGGCGGCGGTGGTGGTGGTGGTTGGGGCATTACTCGAGTCAGGTCCTCGGTGGGGTCATGTGAGCACCCAGCTACCCCTGTTGAGATCGCGTGAGCTCCGCCAGTCCGGGCGCCGGGCCAAGGTGGTGCGGCGGAATGCGGTCGGGCATGCAGTAGTCCAATGACTGACACCATTCCTAGAACACACAACAGCAGAAGTAACCGACCATGAACTCGCGTGTTCAGCCTTCAATCATGCCATTCATAACAGTGATGGATTTTTCCGATCCTACGCCCCAACGCCTGCCGTCACTGTCAGCATGACTTTGACAACATTGGTGTAAAACTGCCAAAATAATAATCTGATGTGGTCTTTCCTATATGTGTTTGGAATTGTCACACTTTTGAATACTTTCAAGTTGCGGCGGTGCAATGAGTACTTCGAATTTGTCACCTCGTGTGAAATAGTTCCAATGCACCCTTCACTTGAATGTTTTTCGCAAGTTTACGTTAACGGCTTATTTTTAAATGACCAATGGAACCACCCACAGCGATGTTAAGGCCAGTGGAAAAGCTCCTGCTAAAGCCAGCGCACCGATACCAGGTGACTAAGACCACAGCGTTTGTCAAACCTAGTTAGAGAAATTCGCCTCGCTTTGGAGGAACCGCTCTTTTATTGGCAGATGACGATTTATGTGATCTGCAGATGTAATGTGCATTAAGCACGTCTGTAGGGGCACACAGACTTTCAGGTTTTTGCAATGGCACAACTTCAACCAAATCAATACGAGTCAGCACGTTTCCAAGGTAAACAAAAGCGATTTTCGATTAATTCGCCTTTATAATACACCGATTCCACGAGCCCAAGTTTCACTAATTTGCAAACCGTTTGAGATTAAAAAGTGCCCAACTTGTGAGTAACAGGGCTGTTTACAACTACAACACATTGAGGGACTTTTACTTGGACAAAAGAAAGTCGAACCACTGGTTGAAGTCAGCAGTAGATTCGAGCCTGCTTGTTTGTGCTCATTAACAGGGCCTTAGTGATTTTGTGCAAAAACTAGAACTATTACTGTCGCATTACTGTCAAATTCTGCCCAACCCCTTATCATACAACATTTTAAATTGATCAAACTTGATAGAGTTATTTGGACAGAGCTAACAGATAATTTGCAGAAATTTTCGTTATTGGTTCCAAAACTTTAATAAAGCGCCGCTAACTTCCGCGAGTGTCAGACTTAAGAAAGACAATTTACTATGGAAATGGGGTTAGTGGATTGTGATTCGTACTTTAGTCTACGGTAAACTGGGACCTGGAATAAATTAACATTACTAGCATTAATTTAGACGTGAGAAGTAAATACATAGAAGAAATGCTTATAAAAATACTAAAATCTCTTCAATTTTTTTCATTCACTTGAGCGTGGGGACCCAAGCCCTACATGAAAGTAGCAAATTGTGGTTTTATTGCAGGATATTTGCTTTCATTAAAAAAGTTTACAATTTACTTTTAATGCTTGGTGGTTTAATAGCGTGCCGAAAGCACAGTGGTACGATCGAGTCGGTGGAATGGCCTCTAGTGTTCACGCCTTCGGGGATTTCTCTACAATACTATTTGTCAAACGGAATCATCAATTAAAATGCAGGAAACATAAATTAAGGTTGCAACTGGAACTACGAGAATCGAATCGATTGTGTAAATAATACGTGTCAACTGCGCTTGGGACGCATGCAAAGGAAATACATAAACGGCAAAGGTGTGTGTGTGTGTGGCGGCGACATATCGTCTTCTCCTGAATCTATAAATTGCTGCTTTGCGTAAAACAGTTGGTGCCTACCGTCCAAAATCACCGTGCCCGCGAACACACTCCTCGCATGGCACTTACGGAAAGGAGCGAATCGGGTGCCTTACCTTGAGGCGCCCAATAGGCAGTCGTGCGCGTGTTCCGAATTAAGGCGCAGAAGTCGAGCGTGTGGATCGATGGGCACACACCGGACAGCCCGCACGCCTGACACTGCCTCCATCCACTGCGTTTGCGCCTACCCATGGACAGTCTTAGTGCATTGGATCAAGTTAACATCGTTATTGCCCTAGCTGGACACACTCTTACCTCCCCTTCCCCCCTCCTCCCGCCCGCATGTAACCCATAGCCTGAGTCCAACCAATCGTCGAATATAATACATTTAGTACACATTAAATAGTTAAATACTAGTGCGAAAGAAGTACGTAGATGAAGTATTTTAAGACCCAATGATTGAGACAAATCAGAGGACGTCAGTTTAGCGTGAAAAGGAGCGGCCCAAATTAAAAAAAGGCTAACACATCTGCACTCTTCATGTGCATTAGCGGTGGGCTCGAGGTATTTTTTGGTGGAATAGGATACGTGCTCTCAAGAGGCCACTCAAAGCGTCTTAAAGATAAAGTCTAAACGGAATTGGTAACGACTGCAACGTACCGCAGAGTACGAGAGGAAGTCGGGGCCCATTTCACAACCGTCCATGTCTGAAAAGAAATTAACAATAAGAATTACCACTTTCATCTTTTCGTCTACATAGACAACGGCCGTGTGTACCTAGGGAAGATCTAACAGTTTATTTCGGAGGAATCTAGTCATAAAGGTACCCGTGTGTATCCTGCCTTCCGCCAAAGGAATCATTTACCAAACACTAAAACATTCAAGTGGGTCTCAGAAGGCAATTTAAAAAAAAGAGAACCAAGCCAACAAAGACAACCACCAAGTTGGAAAAAAGCACAGGATAGAACAGAGTAGAATGAAGATCACATGGCCACGTGTTCGTTGTATTCCAAGTTGTGATTTTACCTGTGCATTTCTGAAATCAGGAGGGCCGAACACTGTGGAGGAACTCGTTAAAATTGGACATGCAGCGCACCTTCTTACAGCCACATTAACATTCGTTGGAAAAACAGCATTCGAAATATTTTTTTAACCTATGGACGTAAAAACGCAAAGGAGTTGGCACTATTTTGAATATATTTAAGAGAAAAATGAGCCGGATTTAAACTCGGGCTTTCTTTAAGTGTAGTTGAAAGGACCAAATAATGCGTGAATTATACCGGTACGATGTACGCTGCAATAGGATATCATTAAGCTGAACGAGTTCCGTGGAATTCTCGGGTATCTGTCTTACTAGAAATTACACTTAAGGTTGCAAAATTAAGGAGGTAACACATGTGATGGACCATTCTACTTGACAGCCCTTTCATTGTGAGTTTAGATTGAAGAAATCTACGATGCCTTTGCTGTTTTATTTTTTTATATAACACAACAGGAAATCTCATTTTGTTTAACACAACCGTAAAAGTATAGGAAAATAATAATTTGTTAAAACCCGGGGTAGGATGGTAAGTAGATAATGCAACCAGCCTTACGCTGCACAAGCAGGTGGCTGTCTTTAGTTACTTTAGTAACATGAATATTTGCATGTATTTTTTTAGATTTAAACTTTGAATTTCACCATGATGGAAAGGCTAATTCCATGCCTACGTGGTGTGCAAAATGCCTTAAACGATGCTGCATTTCCTCATGGATTGACAATAAAACAATAAGCGAGATGAGTTGTTAGTCGGTTGCCCTGTCAACATTGCAAAAGTGGAGAAGTTTTGTCTTATTTCCAAGTCCTGAAAGGTGTAGCTGCTTTTGAAGGCTATTCAGGTGTCACCGTTAGAAGCCTCAATATTTGAAATCCAGTTTATGCCAACGACGTATCGGCACAGAATAGATATGCTGCTGAACTGGATTTGGAATAAAAAGAAGCAGGCCCTCTGAATACACGTTACAAACCAATCCATCTCCATTCATTCGAGAAGTCGCTTTACTTGTTTATCCAGGAAAAGTATCAAAATCGTATCCGCGACACCAACACAACTTGATGCTTGACTTCAGGAGGCAATGGCTGTATTACAAAACGAGGGAGCGTTTAAAATGAAAAAGGAAGAGAAATAAAGGGTTATAAAAAGAATACAATTCCGACGCATTACAATTTAAATTAAAGATTCTACGAACAGCCATAGAGCAGCAAGATGTCACACCGGAAGGAGTTAGTGTTCTTTTGTTCCTAAAGGCCTATAGGGGATGTTTATTTTTCCTACTGATAGACGTTTTCAATCGGGGAAAGAGCATACTTAACTTGAAGGCAGTTGATGATGTCAACGGAATGCGGTTAAATATGCATTGTCGTTCTCGAGTGCGTATGACGTCACTTTATTGTAGTGGAAAAAGTTCCACAATTACTTACCACAGCCGGCGTTTGAACGTGCACTGTAAGTAAGCATCAACAATCGGATTTCAAAAGGCAAAAATAAACAACATTCATGAACAAATTTCCTTCGAAGCATACAAGCAAGGACAGATACAAAAAGAACAAGTCTGCTTCTCCGATCATTCCCTTGACCATCACCTATGCACAACGAACTCTATCCTCCGGTTCTGATTGATTTTTTATTGGTGACAAGGTGGGGAGACGTGAGTGGCACTGAAACACCAGGGGGCTATGGGGAATTTCTCGAGACGCTATTTAAGGTTTGTCGGCCGACGCTTACTTTAGGGTGAAATTGACGCACTACGTGTTGTAAAGTTGACCCCTTTCCACGAGGATTTACCTCCGCAAAATCCGAATTCACTTTGTGAAAAAAAAACATGTTACTTAAATGAAGCGCCGTTTTGAGCATTGAGAACAGTGCGAAAATACTTTCAAGGCATCTTAAACAACCGCCGTTATGTTGGCTTCAATAGAAACTGATCCCAGCTAGGCTCCTAAAGAGTTGGCGAGAACGCCTGAAGCATCATGGTCCTCAGTGCAAAAGAACAAGGCACAAGGAGAATGGGTGCAGACTACGTACAAACCTTTACTTGAGAACAAAATTCAGTGCAGTGCTCTTACGCCCAGGTTGGAAAGAGAAACCTTTATTTGTCAAATTGCTAACTTTGATTAGAAGTGGATGCCGATCTCCAGTACACATTCCGGAAAGGAAACGATGGTCACCATCTGGACGAGCACTCTGTCTACAACGAAAGCTTGAATTCACCCTAAAAAACTGCTGTTGTCAAGGTGGTGAGGTTTCACAGACAGTTTTCACCACGAGGTTTAGAATTTCGACGAACCCGGAACTTCGGCATATCAAATTGTCGTAGCCTCATCGACTAAACATAGCTTCGGTGCCAGGGCTGGTTAATTAAATGGTGTCTCGAACGCCACAATTAACAAAGTGATCGAGGATTTTGGATCGGAAGTCCTGCATTACTAACCGTAGCTTATGGATGGTGCTTCATTGGGGAAGTTCTTTGTGGAAGACCTACCAAACATGAAAATTATCAAAACTGATCGTGACGAATAACTTACAATGATACCACCCTATCCTTACAAGAAGGGAAATTAAATTGAGTCAAGAAGTGAAAGAATATTAGTGGAGACTAGAAAGCTGTCTTTCGCATTAATCTGCGCTAATGTTAAATTAAACAAAAATTTAGCGGGTTTCAAAACTACACGTAACACAAAATTTCACTTAACAGGAAAAGACTGGATTTACGTACCAGCCTTAGGTCTTGTAAGCGTAGTTTTAAAGTATTATTACGCAACGCAAACATTCGTCAAGATCTCGTGATGCATTACGTTGGGGCGGAGTGTGCAGCATGCAGAAGAAATGAGAACTGCATCCTGCAGTTTCAGGTCCACTGTCAAAATCAATTGGTTTTATCGCTTCAGCGGCAATTGTCACCGTGCTCTTCGGCAAGTCGGCAGTCACATGTGTACCTGCTATCAATACTACGATGTGTGCACGCTGGCTTTATTTTTTGGTTCTGTGCTGAGGGGCACGAGGCACGACTAATAGCTCCCCACTTCCTCCTCCTCCTCCTCCTAGTCAACCCAGCAACCCGCGAACAACCCTACCATCCCTGCCATCCCTCGCGTCGTGTCTGTGGTATTTTTAGTCAAACAAACCCACGAGAACGAGAGCGGAGGAGGGGGTGGGGTGACGGGCACACGTGTCCTACCAGTTTGCGATCTTTATGGAGTGGCAGAGGCCTTGGGAAAAAAGTTGTTTTGTGTTGAAACGACTCTGCATTCGAACCGCTTTGTACAGGGTGGAACAAGAACTTCCAACAACTGGATCTTCTAAGTCGATGCAGGACCGTTGAATCAGTACGAAATCGTCTCTCTGACCCTCTGACCCACTAAAGGGTGTCATATTAAGCACAAAAATGAACAATACAAACGGTCTTGGAATAGCCAAAAGGGTTATTCAAAATTACATGGTTTAGTATTGTTGATATAAGGTACCTTCTAGAGGTAATCTTGAATTCAAGCTTTTCTGAAGTTCTCTAATTATCTGATTTCGAAGGGCCTATTAAATTCAACGTTACTTCAAACACTCCAGCTATGCTAAAATTTGTTCTTGAGATCCACGAATCCCTACAGAACATTGAAAAGTTCGGAAGGTGCTCTCATTTGGTGTTTGAACTGACGTTGCCAGCTAGCATGGAGGTTTCAAGTGGGTGGTAAATTTAAACCACTTTTCTTCCCTTCGAAGCAAACAAAATTCAAAACAAAACACTAAGGTGATTTCCGGTTTCCCTCATCGGCTTCTCAAAGCTGTACTAAAGTAAGAAAGCCTTTACCCAAAAAATAAATATCCACTCCTTCAAAATGTGCCGAATTTCGAACATGATAATCTGCACATTAAATGTATCAGTATCATTGACTGAAGCAGCAAACAACTTTTTCCCAAATTATCATTAATGAAGGAGAGGTGGGTTGCCAAGACATAACACTCAGACAAAAAAGGGGAAACCAACGGTGGATGCATGGCCCGCGCCAGCAATGTTTGATGAAGAAGAAGCAAAAGATTCCGATCACGTGTAGATGGCAAAATCACGCTGCTGAAGGTACTGGCGTTATTTGCAAGCGTAAGTTAGTTACTGTAACGCTCTATTTTAATGAATGCACAATCCTGGATAAAAACAAACGCAAAGGAAGCGCGTCTTTGAGCCTTCGATTGCGACATCGCAGAGGCTTGCCAGTGACATCCTCGTTTAGTATAAAACAGGATTGACAAAGGATGCAATACCACTAGCATACGAAAACACGCCAATGCACCTGTCTCGTATGCTTTCGCAAATCCGCATTCTTAGGTACCGTACCGAAGTTTAGAAATACGGGAAGAAATTGCTACCTCAGAAGAAACGTTCTAGAGATAGTGGATGAAAAAATTCAAGCTAATAAATTATTGTGAAGTGACGGCACGTAAAGCTGAACTGCAAAAGTTCGAGACCTTGACATCTCCTACTATGACAAAATACAAGTGAATTTACGATCTAGAGGATAATACAGAGAAGCCAAAAGTTTGACGGCTGTAAATACTTGACAACGGGAATGCTGATGTGTGGTTGTTATTTTAGAAAAGGGAAGTACAAAAACGGATACTAAAAGGAAACCGCAATACAGAAATTCGACCTTATTTGGGACTAAAAGTTGGCTAGCGATCTAAAAAAGGCCTGCCCGATAAAAGCCTCAAGGTAATTGCTGGTTTACAGTCGATGGTACCACAAATTCTAGGTACTATTTTGCCCGGATTCGTTTGATCCAGTGTCCCAAAACTTGTATCGTGGAAGCGGCTCCAGTGCGAACTAGTGAAAATGCGTCAACTCATTTCGGTGGCTTCTCACGCACACAAAACAATTAATATCGACTTGAGCTCCAGCGTTAGATGGTGATAACAGCTACTAGGTTCACAGAATTAGTGGTTTTGGATGAATAGGCCTCTCGATGTCGCCGTGTTTTATTTCCAGATCTGTCTATAGGAAACATTCAAAAAGATAAGTAATTTTCAAACAACAATCTTCACTTATGAACACAAACAGTTAGGTCAGTTTTCGATGTTTACGCAAGTATGAAGTTGACATCAGAGTTAAAGTTACGTTAAAAAGCCCTTGATTGTAAATGGAGAAGAAAGAGCGGTACTGCGCTTATACGACTCATTTAACTTCTGAGAGGATCGCTCGATTTACGCTTGCTAATGCACTCAAAAGTCGAGAATTCACTACAAATCGCTTTAAAATCACGCCCTCACGCTACACACTACACAAGAACACATACTCGACACTGCGTACAGGCTTAAACATCCACAGTGTTGGTGCAGAACTTGTGAACAAAACAGCTAAGAGGTGGTTAGTGGAGCAGCGGCAGGGCAGTTACACTCTGGAGACGGCGATCCACCTTGACACCGGCCACCGCACGAGCGCTGACAGGGGAATGTTGCATCGAATCCGACTACCACATTGCTTACTAATTCTGGTCCCGCATTAATCTCAGTGAAAGCACCACCAAGTAAGACATTTTACCGGGCAAACAATTATATGATCCAACGTGCTACACAGGGCATTTGTATTTGTAGCACTCGTCAAAACAATTGAAGATGCATTGCGATTCGCCTCATGACAAAACTGGAAAACACAGTGCGTCAAGTATCACGATAGCAGTAAATTCTACTGAAATGTTCTTAAGATGTTGCATATCTGAAATATTGCAGAGGGCGTAGTTGAACAGAGATTTTGTGACCCTGTATGGAACACAACTATATTCATAACGTATTCTCGAAAAAGAGGTTATGGCAGCGAAGTAAATATGGAATTATCGTTATACGTAATTACGTGAAAGGCTCATTTTCGAAAAACTACCAACAACCTTCACCTCCATTCACCTGGTGAAACAGAAGAGAGCCAGGTAGAGCGTTTCCCATCAATGACAAACTGTCGTGAAGACCTAAACGCACTTTTCCCACTAACTTAACCCCAATGCAAAGAAGGCCAGGAGCGTAGCACATAAAATCTTCGACACCTGAGTGAATATGTCTAGTGACTTCTTAGGAAACTCTTCTTTCATTCACCCTGTGTTGCACACTTATGACTCCAAGATCATCAGCACAACTTTGGCGACCGATAAGTCAACGGGTTGCAAATGTGATCCACTGGCTGCGAGTTAACTACTCGACTGTTTTATACTGTGCCTCCGGCCTAATAATCCTGGGTGTCATGACAACGGGTGCACACGGTGTTTGGTGCTTAAAGCCATCAGCAAACATCCAACCAACCACGTGCTTAGCAATAAGTGGCCTTCTGAAATTGGCCTGATGTGGAACTGACTAGTAGAGAATGACATCATCTACTGAAGGGAGAAGGGGTGTCTAGTCGTAGATATTGGGCAAAAGTGAACCGCAAATGAAGCGGTCTTAAACTGGATCGAACTAACACCAAAACCTAATTTAAGCACATCCAGATGAGCACAATGGCAACTTGCCGAAACATACTGGGTGTTATAATTTACTTCAAGACTAGGAATAACAGAAATTAGTATCTGTCAGATGTTATGAAAACTAAACTACTCTCAAACAGCATGCAACAAAATAAAAAAGCGAGTCCGATTTGATTTTGAAAAAGTGCAGATTGAAGACGTCACTTCAAAGAAGCTTGCTTTAGTGCAAAGTACTTCAGCGACCCACGATGGTGACAACAAACAATTTAGGGTTCTATGTTACCTGTGAAGTGGTTGGGGACCATTTTTTAGCGCTTTTTAATGCTAGTGATTTTTGACTACATCATAAATTTGTTAAACCTAGCGCAATATCCGTTTTTGGTTGGTGATAAATCATTTGATGCATTAGCTGTGTCCATTTGGTGTAATAGATTACCAATTTACCCAGAGTTTGGTTAAAAAAAAGAAAGAAAACTTTCAATTCATCACACATTCTAATGCTCCTTCAGTCCTCGGCCCTAATTATTACAGGCGATGAGTTACTGACAAAGTGAATCACCCAGCTGTTGTAAAGAGGTAAATAAAATTGTTCAGACGGGCCTTTAGGTTGGTGTTCCCTCTGAATGAATGCACCGTCTGATAATTGCAACAGAACTTTTTCAATTAGACAAGGGTCATTGATGGAGCGCTTACTGTTAAAATTGTACAGAGTAATAAACATTTTCATGTATCAAATCAAAACACTACCAAATTATCGGGCTCTGGAGCGCCCAAAATACTAGCATCTACAGAAAAAAATCTCCTTGTTTTAGAAAGGGAAGGGAGGACTGATTGTAGAAACACCACACAGGACCGGAATTAGCCGCATTTGTCACCTTAAGACAGCAAACGTTTAATTCACAGAGTTCATATTTAAGTATATTGACGTATAAATGATGTTGCATGCATCTGCACAGTCCAATGCCCGGTGGTTTGCATTACAACTTAGACACTTGTATCCGATGGTAAAGGCAAACAGTCGAATCTCTTCTTTGGTGCTCTGAATTTTAGGATCGGATCAGGGTGCACTTCAACAATGGTGCTGAAATCTAGATCACGAATACATCCCATGTCCACTGCGCGAATGAAGTGATAGAGGGGCATTGTACGACCTTTTTGGCACTTCCGAAGAGCCAATCCGTCCGATTGGGTTGCACGATGTCTCCTGATTGGACCTATGAATTGATCAGTTCCCGTGCCACTCAAGAAAGTTATTACATGGGACATTTACAGGCCATTCGACTAATGAAAGGTTGGCTGTTTTTAACGAGGTGCTGTAGGTAAGAAAACAGCTGTTCTAGCTTAGACGCGTGCGTATATGGCAGACGTTATTTGGTGGGACCGACGGACCGCGTGAAGGTAGACAGGGCACCGACAGCCACCACCACCACCTCCTCCTCCTCCACCCCGCAGTAGGCGAGCCTGAGGGTTGAACAGTCAGAGCAGTCAGCAGGAGTCATGATCGACGAGACCGCACGAGGCGGCAGCACCAGCTGGTATCGAAGATCAGTTAGGAAAATAACCCTAACAGTTGTTCACACTCACAAGAAACTGCTGAAGGTCTGTGTTTGGTACACTAATTCCCTCTTGGGGTACACTCGTGCCTTTTTGCGACTCGTGTTAGTGACAGCGTAATGCAACAATAGAATCTAAGGAAACCACTCAGACAGAGCTTGTTTAAGGGAAGATGAAAACAAAAAATCAACCTTGCTTTCTTAGACTTGTGAGTGACATAACAAATGGATTAATTTTGAACACAGATTTACAGAATAAGTGATCGCAATTGGTAAAACCATTATCCACACAATCCTCAGATGTATTTTCAGACAAATTGTCCCTTTAATCGATTCCACCGTCCTCAAGTTGTGTCTTGATGTCTTTGGAAAAGACATTTCCGCCCCACACAAACGCCGCATATTTGAATGAATCTGTTTCTTTAGCTATTTCAAGTGGTGCACAATTTTGCAGCGAGGAAGTAGCTACACTCGACACGGTATTGAGTCCTATGCCTATCTTACTTCGTATTTCGTTTAAGGGGAAATACTAAAATACACCATTGCTCACAATAACGTGACACATTACCAAACACAAAAAGTCTCAAAATGGCACCGGCGATCAAGGGTCTGTAGGTCACGTAAAACGAACGTGAACGGGACCGTCTGGTGTCCCGTTTGGCGGGAAGTGAAATAAAAGACAATGGGGCAAACATAAGCAAGGCAGAGAAAAGTTCACCAAGCAATTGCGGAAGTGAGAAAAACACCCTTGTGGGCACTGACGAAGGAGCATTCGTCTTCCTAATATCCTCAAGATCGACACTTAAATCATTACTAATCATAAGACACGGCTAGGCTCCGATGCAGAGTCTGTCGTTACTTCCAGCTTAAAATAAGTTTGTCGAAAACGTTCGGCCAGCGGATACAATCGAGACCTTTGTAGTCCCTAATTATAAGCCAAAAGATGGAAGATGGGAAGGGCAATTGGCCTGCTATCTTCGGCGATTTCATTGCACAAAACTATGAGTGTGTAAGAACTAGGGTCAAGGAAACGTTTATTTTGACATTATCAGTTATAGCTTGTATCGAGAGTGTGGAAGTGTATTGCAGCGCTGACAGAACCACAACAAGAGATCACCAACGGTTTATACAGCTATGTTCACCAGAATCGTTGTGAATTCCAGACCTCGACGGGCACCAACGGTAAAAGAACAGTAAGTAGGTAGTTCGGAATACCTATGAAGGTCAAGGTAGTGAAGAGATAACACAAAAATCGGTAGGCATGGGTCTACTGTGTGAAGATTAGTCTTGCAGATCAAGGTCGGAACGCCGAACAGAAATAATGCAGACGTTTGCAAAAAAGTGGGTTATGAAAGACAAGCAAACTTTTACAGCCACCTGAGACTAAGTGCACGAAAATTGTCTCGATTATGAGGATATAGAAAATTCCTCTAACGAGTTAACCACGGATCTGAAACAAGGTGGCATGATAGGGCCTGACAACCTTGTCTCAAAATACTCGCTGATGGATGCAATCCGAACTCGTGAGCACCTGACAAACAAGTCGTAATAAACTACTACTTCGTGTTACAAAACCTCAAACGTCTGGCTGTTTTGCCAACCCCCACACATGCGGTTTCGCATTTGTGACAAACGTTACAACATTCACGTAAATAATAGCCCGTAGTGGCAATTTTACCAGCTTGACAATTCCGCTATCAAACTGACGAATGGGATGTTGACCAATCATGGGGCAAAGTTAGCCTCTAGATTAGCAGTTAGGCAAACAAACTCTTGAAGCTGATGGTGGTTAACTAAATCTCCCACCTCCGTCCGCAGTTTGTCTGTTAAAGTATAAAAATAGGCATGCGGTAGCAAAGCAAACGTTCATGACGCGTTGCGCTTAATACACATCCTAGAAGATTTAGTCCTAAAGTGTTTCATCAACATTTCATATCGAAGACAGACATTTAGGTTATCAGAATACGCGTTACTTACGCTACACTTGCTTTCTATTATATGGAGAATGTTAATTTTGGGTATGTCAACGAATCGATGATTCGATGAACTGGTTTATCCTTTTCTCTTCCAAGATTAGCACCAATATATGAAGGCGTTAAATTACCAGAAATGGCCGTTCACTCGTGCATTAAGATACTGCACGTCTAAGGTTGCGCACAGATGTACCGAAACACGCAAGTCGTTTGTCTTCCTCGTTGCCAGACGCATGGACAAATGGCCGACATTTTGTCAGACACACTCACGCACGACCATACGATATCTCGAAGCAGCGAGAAGGCATCAAACAAAAAGCGGCACCACTGTAGTCGCTAAATGACGACTAACTAGAGAAGTTTCTTCTAATTTGCAATAGTTAGAGCTATTTGCAAATCTCTTGTTAAAAACCTCTTGGTGAAACTCCAAACATTCCCTCCACCACTCAGACATTTGAACATACGATTCTTTCACGCAGGATTATTTTAACACTTCTAGACATGAAAATTAAAGTGGGAGTGGACTTGACTATACTTAGGGGGAGAATAAAGGAGAATGAGGATCAGTATGAACCATCATGTCTACATAACCACATACAAACATGGATATAACTACAGGGACACCTATCAAACATGTATACACGATCGGTGACTCACTTGAATCGAAGCACGTAACTTTAGTGTGTTCGGGAGTCTGATTAGCACTGGGAATAGAGTGGCCACCGGCAACAGAAGGTCCCACACCGCTGTCCATGCTGCTCTGGTGAGAGTGCTGCGCGGAAGATATCGGCTGGGTGGCCCCGGCACTCCCGTACTCGCAGGTGCCCGGCATGGCGGGTTGCGAAAGCAAGGGGAGGAGTGGAGCTGCGCAGAACATCTGCTGTAGGTGCGGCAACGAGGTCTCCGCCGTACCCCGGCTTAGAGACAATTCCTCCATGTCCTGGGCTAGATGGCCTGAGGAATTCGTGGGAAGGGACTCGCCAGTCGCAAAACCAGGGCCCCCGTAGGTTCCATGATGAAGCCTGGTAAGGGAGGAGCTTGGACCGAGGGCGTAGCCGGTGGATGAGGCGGCCGATACGTCCCCACCACTGCCGCCGCCGCCGCCTCCCATGCAGGACTCCGAGTGACCCAACAAGCCGCCCACCGACATGGGAGTTGGCTGACTGGCTGACCTGCAGACAACAACGGAATAAAATCATGCAAGTAAAAAAGACAACCACATTTGTTCCCCATTTTAACGGAGGGCACAGCAGGATAAATTGAGATACATTGTACTACCTTCTTGCATACAATGCATTGCAAAACAATGGTTGGCCTTTTCATCAGCGACATTCTGAACCACTCGGCGCTTTCCCCCCATTCATCCTGTCTAAAATTGATCTCTCGCTATGAATTTCCATGCAAAGACGTGGTTTTAATGTCATTAAATGTATAGTGAGCGGATGCGCTCTTGGGACTGTGCTAATCCAGCCGGTTAAGAACAAGGTGGTGATGAACAATAACTCGCAGAATTCACCCAAGCGAAAGGCAAAGAGGAAAAGTCGACATGTGATGCGAAAGTGTCAGCTAAACGAGAATGAAGTGTGAACGGCAATTTTTACATGCATGGATAACGTTTTGGCCAACGTTCCAAGTCATTTTGGGTGTGCGAAACACAAAAGTTAATAAATTTAGTAGTCAATGCCTCAATTACCTATCTTCGGAGCCACATTGGTAAAACAAAAGAACATGACACAGAAACGGAGTATTTCGGACATACTTTTGAATCTATACCAGCTACTGGCTCAAGATCATAGACACTCGTGCTTAGCGTCAAAAATGAGATCGTGGAGACTCCCGACGTGGGTTATGAACCCACACGAGAGCCCTCGATCTGCATAGACGTGACACAAGATGAAGGAGACCAAGTAAGACGTGTGCTCAGCCGTCTACTTCATCATCAAGAGGGTGGTCGTTTAGTGCAGCATGTCGGATATGCACATTTGCGATACACATTGAGTGCGTCTGGTGTAAGCGAGCCGATCCCCTTGGAGAAGGGAATCGAAGGATCCTGGCAATTGGATTATCTGTTGTAAGCGCGCTGAAGTGAGACACGCATTTGTTGTCTCAAGAGGGTCGCAATAATTGGATCTATTGACAGTCGCAGTCATGCTAAGGCAGGGTTGTTGATGAAGTTCCATCAACGGGACAAACCTGTACACATTGTTAGATATGTGAAAGGTGGTCGTGATTATGCAGAGTCAAGGTGATTGGTAGTCCCCGGAAGATGACCGAGGCGCAGTGCTGTAGCCGCGAAAAAGTCGAATATCATTGCGACGATTGGTTGCCGCCGACAGATGACTGAACGTAGCTCGTTGCGCAGAGACGAATGTGGCCAGCTGGTGCTGAGGATACAGCCCTTTCTTCTAAGAATAATGAATCGAAGCAATTGGTCGCCAGCGCGAGCGATTGAAGCGATAGGGTGTCCTTAGGAGTTGACTGGAGCCATTGTGCGTCTTCGTAAACGTTTAAGATGAATTCATGCTGACAACACAGTCGCTTCTTTTAGACGTATGTATTCAAGGCTGATTGTAGGAATTGTAACACGCGATGACTGATTAATGCCGGAGATACTAGAGGCTACTTTATCCGGTTGGAAGTCGAGAACCAAGACAAGCCAAGTGAGAATAAGCCGTAACCAACATGGGCCAGAAGATTGTCGAGACTAGGTTAAGGCAGGTGGGGAGTCAAGAATTAGGGCCAATTTGTGACAGTGTAACAGGTCTAAGGATAGAAATTGCCCAGGTCCAGGTAAAGCCATTGCTTGTGTGGATTAGTGTAAAACGGCTTGAGGACTATATCTTCCATTGGCACGTGAAACGCAGGACAAAGTTGTCTCACAAGATCGCTAATTTATTGGTTGCAGAAGAATAAACGCGTATAAGGGCAGAGTCGTGAAGTTGAGGAAGTCAGGTCTGGGTGTCGAACTGGAGCGACCAGGAAAGAGGAAGAAGGCCAAAGACGACAGACACCCGGACAAATCAATAGGCGCATCGATTAGTTTCATCTCTTAGTTAAACAGGTTTCTGAAATTACAGCCTCCTTTAATTTGACAGGAAAAAACCAAAAAATTGTCTTTAAATAACAAAAGTAAGTTGCTAGTCTCTGTCGAGTACGCTAAACCGATGCTTTCACTGATGGTTCGAGGGGAAATGACGTTGAACCTCGATCATATGGGCTATGCATAGCAGATGCTATCATTTCTAACACTTAAAAGGATCCAATAGCAAATTATTCCCCGCAAACTCAAGCATGTGATAGCAACTTTTGAACCGCGTGCTGATGTTAATTTAACGCATTCCCTTTGGACAGCAACGCTTAACAGTCAATCATGACTTAAAGTGCTGATCATTACTTGGTCATTGCTTCAAAAATATTACTGAAATAAAATTTCAGTAAACATTCGGCAAAACACAACAAGTTTTTTTGTTTGACAAAGGATCTTGCAGAAAAATTAGCAGAGAAGACTTATTTTGTGACCTGAAATGTGAGCAGAAGCTGCGACCTCTTGAGATACTAATGGTTCCGTAAAAGTTCGCCATCAGGGAAATTTTACACCTTGCTAATAGTATTTTTCAATCTTTTGAAGTTGACTTTGGAAAATACTTTCAACAAGAATTAAGATTGCAGATGTACCTCAAAACCAGGATGAAGGCCTCGACTTGGCCACTTTGTTGCTGAGATTGTGGTTTTTGAAAGTATGAATCCGAGGGCTGGAACACCAACCCTAGACCAGACAACTCACCCCCCTCCACCGCCACAGGGTTGTAGAGAGCATGTAAACGAACGTGCTGATAGTTCAACCAAACGACAAATTCAGAGCAAGCTAAAATGAATGATCTCGAGAAAACGACAGCAAGTTCTCAAATGCATTTAAAATCATTACACTTCTCTTTTGGCTCAGAACTATAAATTTGGTGGCCACGCGTGTCCTGATTTAGAAAGTTTACTGAAACCACGAGCTGTGCTGCAAGCCAGCGGTATGAAACAGATTTTCTAAGTGCGTACAGTAACAGCACTGCTTAGTATTGGTTATTCGGCTATTTAACTCGATTCTAGTCTCCTGAGAGAAAAACTAGGGTATTTATTACCAACACATGTCCCTTTACAAAAGTTGTCAAATATGGATACAAGGTAGCATCAATTGTTAAGGGGATATTAATAGGGTCTCTGGCACCCTCCCACATTCAGATAAAATCCAGTAATATTCAAGGTAACTACTAGCGGCAACCCAGATAGTTTATCTCAAATAAATGTCATATCGAATAGTAGAGCTCGAGGAATAATAATGATCACCATAATCGCATTCAGTTAGAGGGACTTATGTAGACCATATTACTGTCTACATGGAAGAAGGCAGCTTTATGAACGGTCATTACTCAGCCAAAATTAAAAATCCAAGATTCACCTGGTTACTGCGTCAAGCGAGGAATGATTTGCCTATTTTGTCTGAATATTGTTCTTGCCTTATTACGCTTTCGAATAATAATGACAAGTATTTCTACAAAATCGTATAAAAAACCCTCCGTAACCCAAGGCCATTCTACTTGTTATACAGTTGGCGGTTGTAATTGCGCAATTTTAACCCGTTGTAGTTGCATAAATTCTCGTTGTGATGTTTGTACACTTTAACTATGAGGCTGTAAAAAATGCAAATTAAATACAGAAAACGACAAAACGCACATCACGTAGAAGTGTTGAATACCTACGCAGACACAAGACATAACAGTGTGTACACTTCGAACAGGAAATTTCGTAAATTTCAAGTCAAATCTGAGTTCGATTCAGCCATTTATTTATTGTCAAGAACAACGCACCAATTTATGTACAAAAATTTCTTCTTTATGGTGAACGTATCAGCATGTAAAAACGGCTACAACACTCATCACAAGTCATAATCACCAAGATAAACAGGATTTAGATACAAGGCGTTACTGTGTGCTTCGAAATAGTAAGCGTTGACCAAAATATGTCTCTTTATTCTCCCTAATGGAAATAAACAAAGGAGAGCAAAAGAGGCAAAAAATATTAGGCAGCTAGTTTGTAAAATGACTTGTTCAGTTCACGAATCATTAAGATGAAATATACCCTTCACTCTGTTAGATGCTGATTCGACAGTATTTTTGCTGCTTTAGAGAGCTTCAAGAAGAGAGTACAAGACTCACTTTGCATGAGCAACGTGTTGTTGCTGTTGGTGTTGGCGCGGCTGCATTTGCCTAGAGCCTTGGGGAGGAAGGAGGTTCATCTGCAATGCGCGAGAATTAGGTGCGACGTGTGGTATAGAGAAGGTACCCGGATGTTGCATTCGTGGCACAGACGCCGGCTGAACGTTTCCCCCGGGCATAATTTGACCCGGAGTGGATGTGGCGTTGTTAGGGGAGCCGGGCAGCGTGGGACAACGGCTGGATGGTCCTCCTCCGCATGCACTGTTTATCCCCGCCGATTCAACGGACGATAATACTGGTATTGGGGAGGCCGGCAGCTGCCGATGACCCTAAAGACAGAAGTTGTCAGAGACACAAAATATCTGCATAATGCACCTATTTTGAAATACATATATTTGAAGGGCACTGTTGAAAAAACACGCTTTGGTTGTGTTCCAAGTCACGGTCTACAAAATTTTAATTATAGATTATCCTAATATTGATGGAGAAGTTATTTCAGCTAATAAAGACAGGAAGACGACCTAGTTTTTGTTCCTACATCAATTAATATCATCAATGATGGTTTGGCGATAGTGACTACGTGGTTCGCAACTAGTAAATCATTTAAGGATATTAAAGAACATTCGTTGCTGTATAAAACAAAATAGACAAAGGGTAGCCTTTCTGTTTAAAATTGGAAAACAGAAACTGTAAACCATAATATTTTCTACAATTAGTTCAAAGTTGCTCGGAGAAAGGTAGAAAAGATCACCCAGAAATTTGGCAACACGACGCTCCAATTGAAACACGCTTCACATCTTGTGAAAGGCGAACTTCGTTGAAATTAACACATAATTTTGCATCTCTATTATAATCGCAGTATTTTTAATGTACAGCTCGAACTGGACACTAATAGCCTTAGCAATTTGACAATGGTATTTCAGATTTTGACATAGTGATTATGCGTTGATAACTAAAATACTACTTTTAAAATTAATCTAAAACTCCTTTAAATTACCTCCAAGGAATGTGTGGGTAATTTACGACGTCTCGCGTAATTTATGTGAATTTTATTCAACTCTTCCAAAGTCATTCCCCATTTCTGTTCTTCCGGGGGAATTCGAGGGTCGAACCTTAATGATAAGCATTAAACGGGAGTATCGTACCATGTGGTCTGTTTGGTTTCATGATTTAGAAAATAGACCTGCTTGTTTTCATTGATTGCCATTTGGAATTCTGGGGGTAGTTCACAAACAGGCGATGTGAGACTATCTGGTCGTCGAGCATCCGGGTAATGGAATGGCCTATTTGTTAATTAAAAACCCTGTATAAGACACATTACCCTCTAGTGCCATGTGAGGGAAACCCTGTAGTACACATCATATGACTACTTTTAGGATTGCGAACCATATTTTGAGTTGTATCCAGACTCTTTTGTCTATTGTGGTCGAGAGGTTCAGAGAGATAAGCAGGGTTAGTGCCAATATAGGAAGGTGATGAATTAGACTTCCTGTGCGAAATACAAAAGCTCTCTTGGTTGTTCTCAACTGGAAGCTCAGAACGTTTTGAATGTTCTTTTGTCGGTGGGATCCAAAATGATTTCGGGAAATTACGCTCATCCATTGGCTTCATGGCCCGACTAGAATCGCGATTAAACAATTCCTGAATGCCATCATGAGCGCATTCGAAAATCCGAACTCGAGGAGGAGGTACCCGAGAATCACCGTTTTCATCCATCAAGACATAGGCCTCGAAAGCTCTAGACCGAAATATCCACAATCGCCCCGTAAGCTCACGACCTCTACATTGGCTGGTTAAAACGCCATTAAACACTAAAGAATGTTAAATTTCTCTGATAAGTCTCATACATCCATAACAGTAAAATTGCTAAAGAATTGTAAATATTTTTATTAATTCTTTTTATAACAGCTAATTATGAGTTTGTATTTCTCTTCTGCCAATTTCTTTCTCTTCATGAGGATAGATGGTGGAAATTCTATTTTATTCTATTCTAGTCTCCTATGTGAAGTATCAATGGTATTTGCTTAAATGATTCTGATACGTGATGCAATTTGCATTCCGTGACCATTATAACTGAGAATTCTTCAGTTTCATCGAAGAGCATTTCGGTTATAAATGTTTTCAGGCCACTATCATAAGCTGATACTACGGGGCGACCAGGTCGATGTCACCATATGCTGAAGCTCCGGTATGGATTTGAGTTTTAGATCAGGTTAATTGATACATGGAGACTTCTTTCGACACGCTGATGTTCCGATTTAAGAAGGAAGAAAATAGATTTTAAGGACATTCAATGTATTACGTGGCTTAACAGGAGTGGTTTTGTACATTTTTGAGCCTACTAATAATTTACATATGTACCGACAGGGCTTGTCAATGACTGTTTTGTGATCTTAAGCAGTGGTTGAGAATTGTCTGGTCACCTACAAGCAGAAGGCAAGGGTTAAAATTTCAATTCAGTAAAACAGACACACATACGGAAAGCAAAACTAATTACTACACCCTCATCGGTTCAGGTACTAGAAATTTGGACAAAGCCTAAAAGATCAGAGTTGAATTTGACTTTTCTCAAGAGTAGTTATTTTTTATAATTGCTTGCATTTCGTATCATTCCTTTTGGCTGCATTAAAACGAACCCATATACCTACTTTATGAAAATATTGAATGTTTAAAATCGTGAAGTATTCGGTCATTGTGCAAACTCCCAACTAATTATTACACACTGGCCTAAAATATACATAATTAAATCAAATGAAAAAGGCATTGCCAGAGAAATGTTAAAAGCACAGAATCTTCGTGTCTGCCGTTCTATGGTAAAATTTTACTCGTGAAAAATGTTTTCATAAAATTTAAATCAATTGTAAGTGGATGCATCCAAAAAGACCAAATCTTTTACTGTGCAGTTACTCCTCAAAAAATTTAATATCTGTTTATGTTGGGGATCCACGATTCCCCAAGATTGGATTCTGATTTTATTTACATTAATTTATTAATATTTGTTTTGTAAACGCTTTTATCAAGTCATGGTCAACCTTGACTCGAAGTAGTTTTCAAATTACTTTCGATTCCACTTCTCCTCTGCACGTGGCTGGCGTGAATAAGGCTCTCTACTCGAGCTCTCGTCTTGTTCTGGTATTAGCCTGGGAAGGTCGGTTCTAGGTTTCAGCGAGGGATCTGGTATCGTTATTTGAGTAGTATTCTCTATTGATACGAGCAAACGTAACAGTTTACCAGAGTTTCTGGTAATTAATCATGCTTAGCGGCAAGTGATTATATTCTTCGAGTGTGCAGTCATCCTGACCAAGGTTTTTTCGTGAATCGCGCTGATTCACGCTAGTTAATCTGGTCAATCCAGCCTTCAACACGTGGTCTTTCCTTTCACAGTATTTCGTCAGCCTCGCCGATCCCCAACTCTCTCTCGTTAGGAAGAACGAATATCCTAGACCATCCCCACATCTAGGAATCGATGTTAGCTAATTTATGACACACTGTCACACAAACCTGGGCTATAAATGCACACACACGAACGCCTCCTACGATGCAACGACACCAATTTGGCTCAGCTCTGATGTAAACAAATGTGTCCGCGTCATCTCCGGTCATCTTCTTCATCACGAGTAGTAGGGTAGCAAAATCGGATCAGATTAAACTCAGCGGCACCAGCATGGTTCAAGATCATAAGAATCTGTCAGTATTAATCACGTCGCATACGTGAAATCAAAACCTGTTTAGGGGCAATTACTGGGGATTGGGTGCTGAAGTGGACAATTGATACAAACTGCATTCACTTACTTTCCACGGACAAACTTAGCACATTGACCCTTTGCTCGTACAAAATTTCAATGAGTCCCATCACACATGTAAGTTTATCGAATTATAAACACCTGTTCTAATTCTATTTGTTAGCCTTGCTAAGTCAGGTGAAATCATTTGTTCACCGATAAGTTGACTAATGCAATGTGACTAGTGTTACTACTGCAATTCATTTTAGAAAATAATGTCACTGTCAATATGACCAAATTCGATATTCTAAACGGCTTTTAATTAACCCGAAATTTTAAATTTTATCATGAAATTCGTTGAATATGGTAAAGTCTGTATTTAGACAACTAATTGTGTGAAAGGACGCTCATTTAATCACTGTGGGCTTAATAGTGAATTTCAATTTGCATTTTTTGAACTACTCTTCCACCACAATTAAATTAAATTCTAAAAATTGTGTAATCAACGTTACTACTGAGTAAGTTAGACGCCTTGGGTCTCTCAGACCCAGTGATTTGGCATGATCTAAGAATATCTCATCAAATCTCACGACTGTCAAGGATACTGGCTGCACAATCCAGATATATCCACTGAAGGTATGAGCGAATGCCCTTCCCAAGAAATTCAAAGTATTCCAATGCCAAACACAAATGTTCAAACGTATCTGCTGCCTTTTCACACCAGATAAACGTTCTTAGATTGGTAATTAATTCGGTTCACATGTGGACGCCACTGTAGGGCTGCTCCACTTTTCATAGTTCTCACACGAGCCGAGCTCAAATGGCTAGGTCTATGCCAAAGATGAGGTTGCATCATCAATATGGCCTAGCGTGCTATAAGGCAGTAATAATACAGGGGAGAAAGATAAACCATACTGTATTGGTAAAAGATTCTTATTAGGATCAGTATTATTCTACCGTTACTTGATGTCAACCCCATTAACTGTCTCTTTATATATGGAAATCTACTTAGCTCTCGCAATCAAATCTGTGTCAATCCCCTCTTAATTTCCTACGAATGCCATTTTTACCTTAAGCGCTGCGCACACTCTCGTCCCTCGCAAGATTTGTTCCAATTAGCTTACGTTACTACAATTTGAGCACAATACGAAGATCCTCTAATCTTCCAAAAGTGTTTAGGTGTATAATTGTCAATGCGTTTCAATCTACTGATAAAATATGTAATCAATGTCTAATCATTAGTTAAAAATGTTTTCGAATTAAGCTTTCTGAGTGGTGATCCATAAAGGGTACTAATAGTATCGTAGCTGAATGTCACTGGCGCACTTTTCAAGATTCTTTGGTTTCACAAACAAGGGAGTCGTGGAAGTAGTAACATATATTCGTAGGCGAGCGGTTGGTCATCTGGTTTTTACATTTTTGTGGTCATAGTTTGGTTAAATTGAGTTAGAATAATTTCTTGATTTCATTTATCTTGTTTTGATGCTGTATTCGACCACCAACAGTGGGATAGATTGTTATATTTTGTGAAAATAATTATTGTGCTAACTTTTATTCACAGAACCATTTTTTCATGTGTAATTCAAATAAAAATTATGTTGTGGGTGGTCGTCTTTAGAAGATGCTGATGATTTTAAATATGTAACCGAATACAGTGCACCCTCTGCTTGTTTTACCCTTCTTGCTTTGACGGGAAAAACAGTGATTATGTTTCTCGTATACGGTTTGTATAACAATATTTTGCGCGGAAGTGAATTAAATGTATGTTGGATATTTTTGCATTCGATTTGCCCCTCTAATGCGTTAATCTCCTCAGATCAGTATTTTTGTAAAATTAAGTGCATTAGCATTTAAATTTTGTGTTCGTTTTAAGTGCTTTATTTCTATGCACTTTATTGGCGTGATCGAAATCTGCACACTTGATATTAATCATGTTATTCAAAGTGCTTTAAATTGGTCTGGTTTTGCTCACAATTATTCATTGACCTAAAAGCAATAACAAAGGTAGGTTCTCTGCCTTCTTTTTCTTGTCATAGGCGTGCACTCTAGCTATGGTTGCTGATTTCATCCAGCCTCTGTCGCTGCAAACGCTTTTATCAACACCTTTGACACATGTATCTAGTGCAGTTATGCATTTATGCTCTAAGCAGTCGTTTTAAGGTATAAATGATGATTTGCTTTATCTAATATCTTTTGCATAGACGCAATGTGGCACTAGTCACTCGTGCTGTTGTAAAATGCGAACAGCTTTAATTCTACCAAATCGGGCCCGGAATTCAGAGCAGCTAATTAAATGTGTAGTTTTGCTAGGATGTAACCTGTTCAATTAAGAAATGCTAAGGTTTTTTTCATTTCATATATGTGGTATTAAGTTTAAGCATGTGTAGAGACTGAATAAATGTACCTTTATGTCAAACAATTGTTGATCAGTTGAAAATTTCATGTCTTTTGAAGTTTAGTCGGGTCTATGGTCAAGTTTAAGCAATAATTATTGTGTATTTTTTATATTTCACAGTTTCTGTATTTACCACTGGCATCCTTTGTTGTGGTATGCAAATGCGACCACTAATGAGTTGCAAATGTTTAAATATTCCGTAAATGCCTAATATTTCGTTTTCATGCGCTTCGAACAGTTTTCTGCAAATGTCACAACAACAACAGCAACAAAATTGTATCAGACTAATCGTGGCTGGAGTTGGTGGTGTCGGCAAAAGCGCTCTCACACTTTACTTTATGTACGAGGAATTCGTCGAGGACTACGAACCCACGCGAGCGGATTCTTATTGCAAAAAGATATCATTTGGATCCGAGGATATTCAATTACACATCCTCGATACCGCCGGTAAATCCTTTTCAACCTTAAGTTAACTTTCCCTTATTTATCGTTTTCTCATTGTAGCTGGCAATCAGCCCAAATCAGTCACGAGGAAGCTATTTCTCAGTTTATTTTTCTCGAAAGCTATAAACTAGAATCATAATCTTACCCCTATTGCCTCCATTAGATTTTTCACGAAATTTGACTGCTAGCTAAATGTTCTGAGCCATATTTTAGCCAAAACGTGCTAAAATAAGTGCTTCAAGTGCTGCAAGCCAAAATTTGTAGATGAAGTAACTAATGCTGTGATCTCACTCGAAGTATTTGATTGGCTTATAAGTTTGACACTTTGCACGAGTTGTGGTTCTTTTAGAGTAATCCATAACTATCCGCTCAAGGAGTGCGTATGGTTACTGTTACACTAGTTTTGCTTTTTAGGACAAGAGGATTATGCAGGCATTCGAGACACGTTCTATCGAAACAGCGAGGGATTTCTTCTCCTCTTCGATGTTACCGATAGGCAATCGTTCACCTCTTTGGGGGAATTCGTGTGAGTGTTATTTGATCTTGCTCTTCTTCACACCTATCCACCGATATGAACAAGTAATCAGCCTTTTCGTTTGCATTTGTTTCTTTTATCGTGTGAGTTCGCCGTGTCATGTGGTGCCTTCGCTGTTCATTAGTGTGCTGAGGGCGTAGGTTTGCAATTACTGCCGTATGAAGCATTGGTGGTTACCATGGTTATATTGCCACAACCTATCCTGTCTAGGAAATGTCTGTTTTAAAATATTATATATAGTAAATGTAGGTCACTATTGTTCGATGCGAAATTGGGATGTTTTGGAGGGTGAAAATCTTGAGGAAAATGCGTAATTCATAATAACAACTTCCTGCTCTTACGAACATTATTTAATGACTTTATCTTTTGTATCACCTCTCCTGGGCTACATTTTGCAAAAGTAAATTTAAATTTTTGGAACCGATTCATCGAAAGAAAACTGAAATCTTAAAAAAATATAGTGTGATTAGTTTTAGGATATTCTTTAAAATTCCAAAAAATATAACTATAATTAAATACGGCTTCTCCATAGGATTTGAAGAAACTATCCTGGGGCTTGCGATTCTAGGGCGGTTTTAAACATAGTGAACGTTAACTACTACCACGCTCTTGAATAGCATGTTGGATACCGCAATAATATTGTTGTTATACATGAACGAAACGATATTATTGCGGCATCCAACCTACCAACGTGCTATTCAAAAACTTGACCTGAATAAGAAAGTGGTGTATGCAGTGCTCAAACTGATAACACCAAAATCTCTTGATCCGCCTAATTATTATAGACTAGGGAGGTAGCGGAACCGAGATTTCAATGAGACTAATTTGTTGCAGATAACGCTTGTATTTCATTAGTCTGTTATTGCCAAAGAAAGGTTTTACAGGACTCTTTGGGTAATGCGGGATCACATAGGATCTCTAACTGTGAACTTGTCGGACGCGGATAATTTATTTATTAGGTAATAAATAATTCATTTATATAAACAATGATATCCTAATGTTATTCTGCTTCGAGTTCTGTTCAAGTCTAGACCATTAAGGGAAATTTGGGTAATATGAATCTTTGCCTCTTGCTACTTCGAGGTCGTGTTGTAATCAGACGTGATTATTTCCTGTTTACCCGAATCAGTGAACTAAAAAAGCCTTAACAGGAAATCCTTGTTGCGCACGTAAGCATTTCAAACACTGTTTTCTCATTCACTTCGCCAATCTTGGTAACCAACATTTTTATTCATTCGCTGGCAATTTTGAGCGGGGCTTTGTTTCCATCTGGTTCTTTTAACTCCTGAATTGTTGTCGTGGGCCCTAAATCCATTAACTCTTCTGTCAACAACAAGACCCTACTTGTTCACGAGGAAGTCAAAATTGTTATTGGTTTGGGTTATCGCCCTATCGAATCCTTGTGCTGAAAGTGTGCCTTCAACGACATGAACCGGCATTGACTTTGTTCCTTTTGGCCAGCCCATTCACTGGATAAACTGCTGATGTAGTAAAGCAGTTGCTTGTGGCTGGAATTGTTACTACTATTCCATAAAATCATTGAAATTGAAAAACGTTTTGGTTTCTGTTGCAAGCTACTCTCAAACTCATCAATTTGGCTTTGGTGCTCATTAGGGGCTTGGGCAACAGGCTTGAATAATTATGCTGCGCAACCTAGCCACCTTTTAAAATCCTAACATGGTGCAACCTCGACGACGCTGATTTTAGTAAAAGCTAACGTAAATGGATTTAACTCGAGTCTGTAGTTATGTTTGCTTGATATGCGTATACTGGGTGTGTGTAAGGCGTCTAATCTATTTTGCTTGGCAATGGTTGGCGTTCTATTGGACAATTCGTAAAGCTCCATTTTGGCTTCTCAGCATAATGATAGGTAGAAATGCCATTTAGGCCAGTACGCTTGCATTTAGTGTTCTAAGTTGGTTATGAGTTGTAGTTCTGGTTCGCTTAACCGAATGTTGGCTTATGACGCCAAACATTTTGTGGTATCTCCTCTTTTGTAACCTTTTAAAGGCTACTTTGAATTTGTTCCCCTTTGGAAGAATGAAACACGTCAGCTTTTGGCAAATGCGGCCAATAGTCGGCATTTTATCGAATGCCACAAATGCGTTGCAGGCAGTGGCTATGCAACGTGCACGAGTCCAGAGCCATTCCAGTGTGCACAAAACTCGAATGCGTCGGTGTAGGCTAACGCGTTTTGCACACCGCTGTCTGCCTAAAATCAATGGTCCAGTCCCGTTGGCACTTGATCAGAGTTACACCATCTCTAACGCGCAGGGGTAATTGGACTCGACACCGTCTAGCACGTCACATCAGGGCTTCTTGTGTCCCATATGTAAAAAGGCAGACGGAGATGCCTCTTGTATTAGTTTGAACGCTGGTATCGTGTCGGCTCTGTAGTGGAAAGTTCTCCGCTGGCATCTAATACAGTTACATCACTTACGTTTTAAATTATAAATGAATGTTATGTAAATTACTGCCTATTTGGACGCCATATCAAAGACACGAACTAGTTCTAGATCGTTATTTTAGTACCTGAATTCTTTAAAACATCACTGGTTGTCATATTAAGATTTGATTTTCCGAGAGACAATAAATGAAATTTCTCGTATCATTTCTAGCGCATTTCCAACTCTGACGGTTGCTTGACGCTGTTGCATAGTTAAACATTTTGTGAAATGGCATGATGTGTACCTGCAGAACCACACAAGTCTACTTTGTTTATTATTTTTCAAGAAATATAAGTTAACATCCAACTATCTGTTGGCGTGTTTCTAAATTTTGAAACCCAATCTATTTAGGGAGCATATTCTTCGTGTGAAACACACGGACAACGTGCCGATGCTGATTTGTGGTAACAAAGTGGACCTTGTGGAGAGCAGAAAGGTTTCACCAGAGGAAGCAGAAGAGTTTTGTCGCAAGTGCAACGTTCCCTACCTCGAAACCTCTGCCAAAACCAACAAAAATGTCAAAAATGTAGGTCTTTGTGTTTATGCTATTGCACTGTAGTTGTCTGCCGTTAGCCGTTCTGTAAAAGGATAGGCCTGCTTCGTGAATAACTTAAACGCCGATAACAAATGCCACCGATTAGGCACTGTGAGTGGAGAATGAGTTAGGAACTGTGATATTTAATTCACACTGTTAGCGATCCTGGCATCCCATAACAAGTTTTAAATAGTTTCTTTAGCCTCCAATAGTTGGGAAGACCACTTTTATATCCAAACTGTCACTCATTCTTTAAAGCCACTTTATTTCGTGTGACACTGCTCGTTCAGAAACATCCTTAAAACGAAGCTAATACCCATCATATGATTGGCATTGCTGGAACGCTTGAATATTCTGTGTTGCAACAGTCATCTTCCTCCTTTGATAATGTGTCACGTTGAGCGTATTGGGCAATTAGAAAACCGTGATCCCACGGGCCCTCCTAAAAAATGACACAGTTGGTAATTATGCACATCGAGTGTAATTTTCAAAGTTGTTCTGTGTGTATATCCGTTTATTGAGCTGATGGTCGGACCTGACTAATCTGACACCAGTAAATGTTCGTCTTGCAAAACTTCCAAGCCAGTTTGAGATGAGTTGGAATGAAAATTTCTGTGGGTCTTTTGCAGAAGATGGGGACTATTGCAAATCCTCAGTCATATTTTTGCTTGCCTTGCACTCGTTCTACTCATCCTAAAATGCAGTGGAATTTTCACCCTTAGCGCAGAATTTAGTTTAAACCTCTCTTTTTTGTTCTTCGCCAGCAGATTTGTTAAAGTTAGCATTATCCAAATACTCGTTAGTTGCACTCTCTGCATTTCTTTTCAAACGGTCGTTCAGGGTCAGCGTAATGTTCACATTCATTCAAACAATGGCATTTGCTGCACTACCAAACTCGTTTTTTCTCACGTCGCCATTAAACCTTTAGTTTTGTCTGTGGTCACGGATTTGAAGAAGTGCACCTACTTGGGACTAAGTGTCAGTAACTTGACCTGAGAATACAAGCGTGTGTGTGTGTGTGAGTGCCGTCGCTTGTATGACCCAAAGACAACCAACGTTTGTTTGTTTGTTCGCTCGTTTAGGCCTTCCTCACCCTCGCCCGGGAAGTGTACCAGCGTAAACTGGCCCAGCGACAGCAGCACCAGCCTGGACAACCCACGAAACAAGGTCGCAAAAGGAAACGATGCAATATTTTGTAAATTTGTACCTCATTCCGCACTACCTACTTTCGACAGCCGCCTCCTCCTCTCCCCAACCAGCCTTTTAGTTCTCCGAGCCCCTTCTAGGTTTCGCCTCCGCGTCGCTTCCCCAGACCCGAGTCCCCTCTTGTTCAACAAATCGTAACTTCTAATCTTTAAATCTTGTGTCTCCCATATTAAGTCTTGTCTTTGATTTGCACTGGCTTGCCCATGGAATCATCCTAATTGTTCACGTGGGAAGGAGCTGCAAACTAGATGCCCTGGACGATATTCGCGTTCAACTAGAGCTGCTATTTGAAAGGGGAACACGCGCCGATAGTAACGGCAGGGTGTTGTAAAAAGCTGTGAAGGCACGGACCCTTCCCAAATTACAGATCTTTAGATGTCAAATACTTGTGTACTTGACAAACGTTGTGATGTCTACCTCATAACCATGTCGGAGAAGGCAAGACCGGTTGGGGACTGCTGATAATGGCATATCATCATGTCAGGTTTTTGCTCAGATGCACGTTCATTTATGTGTTCAATGGTGTCAACATTTGAACAAGTACCAATCGCGCTCGAAAGACAACCATAGCACGTGCGCTCGACCTGAGAATGAATGCTAATAGCCTTGACTACTGTAGGCCTCACTTTCCGAGTAGAGAGACAATGACAAAGAGGGTGAATGGCCAGAGTCGGTAGGACTCATTTATTCGGGTATCAATCAAAAGAGGTATGTGTGCGTCACCTTGTGGTCGGCAAATATCTAGAGTCAATAGAACAAGCATAGATATGCATGAGAAATTGAAGTCAGAAAATCCGAACGTCGGAGCGTTTCAGAATCGTTCTGGTTACACCCCACTTGAAGCAAACTGGCAAGCTTGTTGCGAAAGAAATGTCAGTAGTAAAACATCTCCAGCAGTATCAGATTGGAAGTGCGCGAAGCGTACGCTTATCAATGAGTCCACGGATTGGGACAGTGTGGAGTATCGCCGACTCGATAGATGAAAAATGCTAAACTTCTTAAGGCGTTCTAGCTTACTGCTTTTCTGAATATTCGTGTATGGTAGACATCACACAAAGTAGGCTCTTGTATACAAGCCTTTCTATAATCGATCGGCGCAATGCTCATCTGATCCGACGTAATAGGGTTTGAAGGTATTTAAGGGGGGTAGTATTCTTTGATCCATCCAAAAATGTCAGGTTCACGCAGCCAACAGGGCGTATGTCTTCCGCTCACAGCCACGTCCGCACAACACGTAGGGCAAATGGTGAACCGAAGCCGACATTTGAAAAGAGTTGCCCGAGTGACTCGTCAGTACGCACTCTGGCCACAGCCACTTTTAGTACATCCAGCCCCATATTTTCGGAGCACAAAGACTAAGTGAGAGTCTTGACAAACTTGGCTGACCACTGGACACTTTTGAGGTCTCCCGGTCGGATTAAATAAAGTGTCAGCACCTGCCAATGTGTTGGCACATCATCTCACTTTAAACTTCATAAAGTTTACGTGTGATGTGGACTGTAAAGTCTTGCATATTTGACGTGAAATTAGTCTATGGCAGAGACACAAATTGTACAGCATATTTACTTGTAAACAGGGAGTAATAACAGCTACCGGTGTCGCCTGAGTGCCGCCGCCTCTTTTAATGCGTAGTGGGCTGTGCGTCAGTGTGCATGTGACGAGAACCAAATTGTGTGTGAGCATAATAGGGTTAACAAACGACTGCTGCAAACACTTAATGGGGACCATGAGCGAGGTGGGTTCACTTCCAACCGCCAACAGAGGTCAATGTGCCTTCTGCTGTGGGAACGCCCACCTCGTGCCTACCGTAACTCGTGACGTACCTTTTATAGAGCCAATGACTAAGACGAATCAGCTGCAGCTATTTTTGCATTGAGCACAGTAAGTTTGTTGGTACTCGTGAAATAAAATTTCTTCCTTTTCGATACATGTCGCTTAACTTTCAAGCATCGCATGAATCTCTTAACGGCCCTGCACCTTCATTGTAAACAGATATAGAAATATCCTGGAAACCAGAATTTACTACCAATAAAATAAAAGAACTTTGTGGATCGTGGGGATAGTACTCGTGTTTATTTCATTACTATGGTAAACTGACGTAGAGGTGGTTTAAAACAGATTAATTACGTGGATGAATGTTGGTATGCGCACTAGGCTGTCTACCACGCCAAGCCATCCTCATTGATTCACCCGTTCTTGACATGGTTGCGTGTTGCGTTGACGTCGTGGGCTTCCCAATGGCTATTAAGAAGTGGAATAGGGAAGTATTTGTAGCATAGACTGGATTGGTGCTTAAGCTTGCTCACAATCGCTCAGCTTCTCTCACACTTCCCATGAAATCAGTCACTCTTTTGGTAGAACGAGCACCCTTAGTGTTAATGGTAAATTGCAGTGCAAAGCAAAGCTCTGTAAAATGGTATCATTTGAACGTAAACAACGCCATCTCTCTCATGACCAACTGAGTGGTAATTCGCGGTAGAAGTTGAAGGGCCACAGCACAGCAGCTCTTAGCGTCCTGTGAACCATAAGAGAATGGGAATAATTACAGTGATTCAAGCAAGCTTCGTTGCTTTTCTGCGTGTCGGAAAGTGGCTGCTGTTGTCGTTGTTGTTGTCACAGCTTTCAAGTATTCAAGACCCGCAGGTGGTTATATTGAATGATCTACGGTGCTTGGTTTTCTCCCATCTAGTGGAAAGAGGCCACATTTTGCCGACTGACAAGTTGAAAATCCTTTCCTGACTGCCATCCACATCTACGACGACATATTACTACTCATGTTACAATAAGAGGAAACCAACCAAACAAAAAACACACAGGGGCTCATGGATTCGGTAAGATTCAGTAGTTATAGGACCTATCACATTGAAAGCGTTGTGGGCTGGAATGGTGCAGGAATTATGTGGTGTTATGTGAGAAAAGTAAAAAAAAACTAAGAGGGGCCTTTTAATTCGTCCAGTGCAATTCCTCAGCTAAAGCAATTCTACGATTTTTACAAGGTCGACGGGTGATGCGATTGTTGACCCAGTTTACTGCCGGCATCAATGAAGTTAATTGTTGGAAGAACGCACTGGGAGTTGTGGCTTTATTGATTTACCCGGGACCGAAGCGGTAATGGTGCTTTGTGTATAATTTCGCCTGACAGTAAATTTGAGGCAAGGAAAATGTGGTGTTCTTGCAGATGAGGAGTCAGTTTCGGGCAAACAGGCACTGTCACACCTGTGGACCGCAACACTGGACACTACACCTCAGACTAAACATCTCCACATTAATGCCTTCAATAATGCAATTCAAAACTGTAAGCTGCTGTTTAGCTACACTTTAGTCAAGCAAGCTTACTAAAGTCACATCAGTAGCAAGGACAATTATCATACTCGGTTTTTGGCCCTAAGACCGTTTCCCAAGGACAAGGTTAATGTTGTTCATAAAGTAAACGATTTGGTGTTTTTTTTCTCGGATTTTACAGGAGATTTCGTACTACAAAATTGGCCTCAACATATGAGTGTAAAACGCCTTATCCCCAGCTAGGAAGAGATTTTCACCAACTCCACCGACGTTCTGCTGTGCACCTCATTTCTCGAGGGTTTAATTGCAACTTACTTAAAGTTTGAATGCCGCCGATATTGGTGAGTGTGCCACCACCCCAGGTTCTTTTATTTATGCCTCTCTGTGCGATCAAAGTTAACGCACCATGTTTCGCATTCCGAAATTGTTTTTGGCCGGCTAAAGCCAATCCCAACAACTTGGCACTTCAAAGCTCCGTTTGTTCGCCTCGATCGAGATTGAAAAGAAGGGCTGATCTACGGTGGTTTGTGCGTTCCCAACTCTTAGTAATTATGTTCATACAGACTCTGTGGGTAGGGAATCTGAAAGCCGTAGTCTTTCATTTACGGGAAAAGAATTTAAAAGACTTTGTGGCGTTTAAAAAATTGCTCACATATAGGATTTAAAAGCGGTATTTATAACGTAGCGCCAATTTAAGGATTCAAGTAAGACTTCAAAACAGATATTGCGTATCATAAATTAACTTTATTTGTATAATCAATCCTCTTCCTAACCCTTAATACATTCCAAACTGAAGTAAGCTGCAACCTTAATACAAAAAAAAATAAATTCTAAACAATGATGGTTCTTCTTTGGAACTTGATTCACACAAAATTCCCCGTCGTGGAATCTGCCTCCTAATTTGAGAACTAGTTAAGTGATTGATAGCAATAAAAGCAATGACAATTATTGCGTTTGAGATAGTTAATTTAAACAAACTGCTAATTTTGTACCAAGTATTTTTTGGTCATTTCTACAGACTGAAAATCAGGGGCTTGAAGATGTAACATAGGTAAAAAAATAATACACCGACCACAATACTGAGATTTTACAGATAGATTACATCATCCCTTAGTATATTTATCCAACTTATTTGGGTCCTTAGCCTATTATTTTTCCCATTTTCGGTTACGTAAATAATCGATTGAGGCGCTTCTTTGGAAAACGATTGCAATCGAACTTACTGTAATAATAAATATATTCTAAATAATGGTTCAAACGGTGTGCATCGCAATGAGAAACAACACTGAAGCTCAAATTGGTCGGTGTGTACATCAGGGCATAACGAAGTGTTATCCCGCTCCATTCTGTGGAGGCAAAGGGCTCGTCCACTAAGTCCCTTCATGGTCCTGGGGGTGCAAAGGCGTGCGCACTTAAATTGTTGCACCTCTCACAAGAAAGAAAGTTTGCCATTTTCGTTACGGGTGGTACATTTAAATTTCAATCATAATAGTCTCGTGCGATCACAAACATATCTAGCAAGTTCCTTCTTGCCGTCCATTTGCTTTTACGTGGGTACACAATTGGTGGCCTAGTGTGCGGGTTGTCCGTTTAACGCCTTAGTTAATCAGTACACACTGTAGGTCGGCAAAGTATACGCCTTGTTTGTTCTGTAAATGATACCCAAAGGGCAAATTTAGATCTGTACTAGAATGTGTTTGAATTGTTTCTTGTAAGAAGATAACACATACGAGCGTTGAGGCTTTAATCTCCCCAGAAAAGGCTCATTCATGCCACTAAAGATGTGCAAATACCTTTTGCTCATTACTTAATTGTTAGAATCCACAAAAAATATTTCAACCGCAAATTAAATAATAATAAAATACGGCTTTTTAAAGTCCTCGTTGAGCTCACTCCTTATTTTTCAATCTGGATGCATTAAAATAATTAAAATTAGTACTTGTTACCAACTACCGTTGTCATCAAGTGGTTACTTGTGTTGAAGTAATTTTACAGCGTTATGTTGGAATTTTAAACAGCTTTTTGACTTAAAAGGCAGCGTTACTGCCAGTGTTCTTTGACATCTTAATTATACCGAGATTGTGTGTGTTAGCCACTTGAATATGCGTCGAACCCACTTCAGCTAAACTTGTGACTATTAAGGGAGGCATATAGGCAGGTAGGTAGTTAGGTCCACAAGGATCGGTGGGTTGTTTGCGCTTGAGGCGGGGCTACAACAGCGCCGATCTTTCGCCCACAATTGTGCAGATTTCTACGCAGTTGGGTTTGGCCACTTAGCCATCAGCTGCTAAGGGCGCATCTGTCTTGGGTACTCTCTGTTCAGCTATAACAGCGTCCTAACTAACTTCAATAATACTACTTTGCTACCATAAAGCTACGCAGATATGGCGGTGTTCAATTGTTCAAGATCCAGAAGACAAACACAAGTGGTTCAAAAAAGAAAAGTGGATGAAAGCAGAGTCACTTAACTTTGTCATCTCGAATTTCCCAGCGTGTGGTTGCAACAGCTCATCGGTGAAGCATACATAACTTCATCGCTCCCCTAAAAAGGCTGATCATTCGTTGGATGAATGGAAAGCAACGGATGTCTTACGACGTTGATCATGCAGTTTAACAATTTGACCCCCAACGCATTATTATTAATTGTAAAGTAATTGACAAGTCATTTTGGGAATTATATACAGTTGTGGTTATGCCCAAATGGCTTTGACACAACTGTCTGGCCAATTTCAGTATTAAAACTTACTTTCCTACTTTGAGTAATTAAGCACAAACAAACATTTAATGATCTTTCGGGTGTGAAATTTCTCCCTGCCTCTGCGAAAAGGTGCTTGAACCATCGGACATGGGTCATTAGAAGAAGGGGGTTAACCTCAACAAGTGGGAGGTCGCCTGCACCACAGTAGCCGAACAAGCCACATTTTACCTGGTGGGAGGCGATGAGTATTTAATTGCAAGTCATAGCAACAGTGCGAAATCGGTGGTTGCACCGGCAACGCTCACTCGTGGAGAGCGTAAATCGCATGGTAGCAGCAGCAGCGCACTGACTGACTGGCCGGTGTATTTCGGAAATCGCTTTAAAATGACTGATGCTTGATTGGGGGAGGGCGGGGATGTCGGGCGTTAAATGAGGACGTGAAAATTTTCATTGCGCGGAAAATCACCTGGTAGACAGTGGTCATATCGTATTCATAAAATGGCCTTAGCAACACATCGTGAAGCATAGTGAACAAAATCCCAGGCTTTATCGTTGAATTCTCCCCAATTACGCCATCACAAAGGGACCGTGGGAACGCTCCAGTATCCCTTGAACGCAATTTCCAATTAGCCTTGGTCGCCCATGGCAGGAATCTCTCAAAGACACTCTTTACGTTGTATGCATTAGCTTCAAAAATGTGAGCCGTCAGCTTTACTTGTGCAATGCATGCAACAACAGCAGGGCATGTCAAAAATCTCCATCTACAGATCGGATTGCCATTCACATGGGACATGAAGCTTACTGCAAAAAAGGGCAGCTTTCCTCGTTCATTCTATGAAATCTACCTTCTTAGGGTTTTGCGACCTAGAGGTGTTGAATTCTGTAACATGAAGTATCGTTAGGAGAAAATGTAGTTTAGAAACACCCACTTATGCAATTTAATAATTTGGCCATTAATTTGTTCAGCAGAATCTGACACGAGGTCTCTGACACGACGAGTGCTGGCCCCGTGGCTTATCAAGTTCCCATCGCTCAACTGCGTTGCCCTTTGTGTCATGCAGCCAAGGAGTTCAATAAGAAGAGATTGTCGTACAACAAGAAAGCATGTTTTGTAGTCTCAATTTATTCTACTTACGAAATAGGGGATTTGGTGTGCAGGAAGGAGGCGAAAGTGGATGTCATGTGGTCTTATTTCTTCGGTGTAAAAGCCCTGTTCATGGACTCTTTGAAAATTAAACACAGTGACTTGCAAGAAATGTGCGTCTTCGAGCAATAGCTCATGCTTAAGGTTCTTCAGATCAACATTCGTGAAACGTCGGCTGTAAGAGTGATTTTCAGTGGACTATATATTTAACAACAACAGGGACTCTACATAAAAACATTTATACCCGTTCATTTAATTCATTAATGGATGTCTATGTCTGATAGCGACCACATGATCGTATTGACAACTAACCTTTCCCACTCCATTATTTATGAATACATACTTCAATTTGTTCTGAATGAATTACATAACATCACTTGATTTTATTATTAAAGCTTGATCTTGATATGCTTCGCGTAAATATTTCAAATAAAAATGAATCTGACTATGGTGATTTAATAGATTGACTAAATGATGCACTCCATATTGTATCTTGTTAAGAGCTTTGTAGCCTTTTTATCGCGTTAAATGCAGGTTAAACAAAAAGATGCATCTGGGGGCATAAGAATGATAGGCTTTAGTTTTATTCTGTGTTTGTTGAAAGAATTAGGGTACAATTCTCGTGTCACAAATAAATTGAAACATGTGAAAAGTATGCTTTTAACTGTCAGGCTTTATTTTCTCATCGGTAGTCTATTGAATTGCTTTTATAGTTAATAAGATTCTCCAGCTTTAAAACTGAAACTGATTGTAATGACATTCGCTGACGCCAGTAAAGGTGCTTTAAGATACAGTTGATTCGCTACTTTTAAGGAATTTGTAACAACTCGTTGTAACCATGGGGCGCTTTGTTCACGAAAATGAAACCTTAGTTACGAAATCATAATTACACAGGTTTGCAAGGTGCACTCCAGTTAAATGATTACTTGAGAGTCCCTACCATACTCTCGAAGTCCAACTGGGGCCAGACATCGTGGGGACCTAGTTGGCGAACCAACCTCGACGCACAATAAAGCCGGCCATGCATTAGATCACGAGCCCCGCCGACACAAGCCCACGAGGCCCCGTCTGACGAGGTGACACGAGGGCGGCCGGGTGGCGTCGCCGGTGGTCTGGGCCGCATCGGGTGGCGGAGGAGGGGGCGGAGGAGGAAGGGGGTGGGGGGGGGTGAGTGGTTGCGGTGTGGCGAAGGCAGGATGATGTGGTGGTGGTGGTGGCTCGCCTTATCGGCTCACCTGTTGTGTATGCACGGGGGGAGATGATGGGGTAATTATCCACCACCCTTACCGCAGACCACACGCAGCTTCCGGCAACCAGCCATGTGTGTGGATGTCCCTTTTAATTCTGTCCAGATGTCCCGCAACAGTACATTGGGCCTTCTGGTTGTGAGACAGTAGCACAGGCTCTGTGATATGCCTGGTTTACCAAACCTCTGTTACATTGCAAAATTTGTGTTCATTTTAAAGCTGATGCAGGTGGCAGTAACTTCACCTAGTTTCGCCTTGTGCTTTTCTCAAAAAGCCCGTTTGGCCGCTTGGGGAGTGGGCGGGCATTTCAGACGTCTGTAAAAGATGATTGTTAAAATATTTAATTTCGCAATTACTATGCCAATTCTGATTCCAAGTAGGAAGAATAAGACCAATTCTACTTTTCCACACTAGCACACACCCTCCAGTTTGGACAAGTTGTGAATTAGGTCTTTTGTTTCGCTGCTCCCATGTCTCAAAGTCTTCCCCACCACAACCATTTCGACTCAATTCTGACAGTACACAGGACGCCTGGCAAGGAATGGTAAGAGTTTGTAATTAAGTGATACACGCAAACTCCAAGAGTCCCTGGGTGCAGCTCCCGTTTTGTGGAAAGGGGCGAAGACAGTTCTAATTTATGTATTTCGCTCGAACGTGCAAACAATTAGCGCACGCTTCATAATTAACGCATTCACGTTATGATAATTTGCTCTTCCCTTCAGCGAAACAGCGCCAGCGGGGCTGGGGAGATGCTGCGGGTGGTGGTGGCGGTGGTGGTGGTGCTGGTGCTGGTGGCAGCGTCAAGCTTTGATCGCCCCCTCTAAGGCAGAAGAGAAGACAATATCTCACACACTATCCGAAAAAGGGTACGTGTTTTGTGTGCGTGCAGCGTGTGAGCGCATGCAGAATCTTCCAGTTTAATAAATTAATTAACTTAATTGTATCTCTTCCAACAAGCGTGACTTGGTAAATTTTGAAGTTGTTTGGCCGAAAGTCATTGGGATATTAGGAGAGGACGTAAAACCACTAAGCACCCCTAACTAACCACTCAAAAATGTTCGAACAGTTTTTTAACCTCAGCGCTTTGACTGTTCATTTCCATGTATGCATATTAGCACGCACTGTGGATCACACTTCTGGATTAACACGATGGTTCCAGAAATGACTGGATAACTCATGTGAACACTGCCACCTGAATTTGGAAAGCATTGATGACACGTTGAAAGACATGAGTGCCAACAAGGGCTAGGTTAAGGAGAACTTATAAATCAACGTCTTGGCAGTTACGCCAAACCAAATCTTAATCCAGAATGTAAATCTAGTGAACTAAAATTACAATTAAATATATTGAGCTTTCAATTGACCGGTTAAAGTTCCATTACTAAAAGTGTGAGATCGAACAATAAATGAGACATAAGAAAACAGGAATGTTGGGATGTCAGATTTGAGGCATTCTTTTATGTTGTTTCTTCAGTCGTCCAAAGTGTCAAAGAGGCTCTTCAGGGTCTATAAATATTGAACAATGCATCACTTCAAACAAGGAATGTAGCTACGACTTATTACTACTAGTCAAGTTGGTGGAAAGTTGTCACAACATGAGCGCATTTTAATCGTCCCCCCCCCACCATCACCTAATTGGATCGGTGTAGCTCGGTGGCCCCGGTGTGATTCATGTCGAAGCCTTCAACAGTTGGTGACGCCGAATTTGAACGCGTATCGACCTTCTACGACATGGCTTTTGGTAATTATGCGGTGCCTCGAATTCGTCGCTTCTTTGAACCAGACTTCTTTATTCACTCAACTCAACCAGGTTTCATGTCTCAACTCATCTTTGCATTTTCCAGCGACGGAAAGTGACCCAAATCATCTAACAACGCCTGATCGAGTCAGATTTACCGTGGCGAGGCCTAATCACATCCCTTTATTATACCCGTGGTCAATCTTTCTGATGTTTGACTGGTAAATGTGGTTATATCCTCGACATGATCTTATCACGGCCCTTTCTGGGCGCTGACTATCGGTTTGCATAAAAAATCATCCTGTGTCACTTCTTCAATTGTCATTGGCCTCAATTTAGGTCCGAAGTATCTCTCTTTGAGGAACCTGTCCACATCAATCGATTCCCACCTTTCTTAATGTGGCCTCATGTCTCTCGCTGAACACGACTTTCTACGCTTACTTGGCAGATCTTTTTGATACATTATCAGTTTTCCCGCCATGCTTCTCGGCTTTCAACGAGATCATCTAACCTCAAACATCCAACGACATCAATCGGGCATCACGAACCACTATCCTTACAATTAAGCTTTAAGCCGTCCTATTGGATGAAAAGGTATCGACTGCAGCAAAAAATCTATAGACATTTTCCCACAACGCACAATGACACCAAGCGATTCAGTCATCTTCCGGCAAAGACTATTCGCCTCGTTCTGATGTACTCGCATTCAGCGTTCACTATGGCTACTCATCGACGGCCTAACTCTCAGAATTCCTGTTGGAAGTTAAGGTTGGCCAATTTTTTTCGCTAAGGAGGAGAGCTGTAGATAATTGCGCTCATTCACGTCCATTAGCCCGATCTTCTCATTCTCAGACTTGCCGCCCTTTCCTTTTCAGAGGATCCCCATCGATCACCCCGAACTGCCTGCGCATGTACCTCCCCACTGCAACTCGTTTCACTCATGCACACATTCAGCCACTTGTGGTTCTTCAGGTTCGCCCAGTCTGTACTGATCAACAACCCACACTGGCTCAGTGGTGGGACACTCACAAATAAACTGAGATACCTAGTTAACGGTAGAGTCTTCACCATATTCGGTCATCGGCCTTTCTCGGGTATCTGCGTGCAGTGGTCAGGCTAAAATCAACACAGTTTTCAATACCTTTAAGGCTTTTTACAGAGAATGGAAATGGTAAAAGCACGGAGGTGTCGGGTAGGGCAAAACAGTCTTCATACCAAAAATACTGCAAACTTGACCTGCAAGACAAAGCCCGGGATAGGGTGGACGGGAGGGGGAAAGCACGCAGTCGGATTTGATGCGACTGTACGATGCTGTCTGTAGCGCTCGTGCGGTAGCCGGTGTCAACGTGGATCGCCGTCGGCACTGCCGCTGCCGTGTCCAGAGTGTAACTGCTCTGTCGCTGTTTCAATGACCACCTCTTAACTGTTTTGTTCTCAAATTCTGCACCACTACTGTGGATGTTTAAGCCTGTACGCAGTGTCGAGTATGTGTTCTTGTGTAGTGTGTATCGTGAGGGCGTTATTTTAAAGAGATTTGTGGTGAATTCTCGACTTTTTGAGTGCAATAGCAAGAGCAAATCGAGCGATCATCACAGAAGCTGGATGAGTCGTATAAGCGCAGTACCTCTCTTCTCCATTTACAATCAAGGGGTTTTTAACCTAACTTTAACTGTGATGTCAAATTCGCATTTGTACTACTGTGGGACATTAAGTTAGCAGTTTTTCAGTTTTACCTAACAGGTACGGCATGCATCTGATAACGAAACCCGACTTTATGTTGTCTAAAGTGTTTCATTCTCACTTCACTATACCACGCTTCGAATGATGACCTACTAGTTTATGGGTTTTGAAGATTGCGTTACAAACTCAATCACATTGCTTTCATGGCGCCACGAAATACCTCTGCTTTTTGTTATACCTAGAATTTGCCACTAGTTAAAGCAGACGAGGTAATTTATGAAATTCGATGAAACTTACAAACTCGGTCCTGAAATTTACATAAAATTGATTAAGTTTATTTTGACCGGGAGTTCTTTCCCTGATCTGTAGATTTGATATCCAAACGTCCGCATGACCAGCTGTTTAATCATTAAGTGGAGTTCGAGATAAAAGATTTTGCACAAAATCACTCTGTAAAATTAACAACGAACAATATGTCTTCGACTGCACCAGCTGGACACGGCAACAAATATGAGTGCATCAAATGTCAAATTTTCTTAGTCACAGGCAGTAAGTTGCTAACTTTAATGAAGAAAATCACATACGTGAAGGAAAAAAAAACAGTTTAAAAAAGCAAAAATAATCATGTGCATTCTGTATTATGAATCGCCGAATTGTCTTATTCGTTCGAAAGCACAAGTACCGTATTTTGCGTAACTTGACGATCCACCACCAGAAGCAATGTCGCTTATCTATTCATATGTTGGAGGGGATGCAGCTTCATTCTTAGGGCCATCGAAGTCACAGTCAAACCTCGTAAGAAGTACATTTTGATGCTAGGCTAGGGCATGGATAAAAGCATGCAGTTGCTGGAAGTCTGACTGTCTTGGATCGATAATTACGCAACAGCTGTAGATTGCTGGGGCCGGAGACTAGCAAAAGGGCTCAGCACATTGAAAGTCAAGTGTCGGCCTCCCCCCCCCGCATTACGTAAACCGACTGACGGTGCATTTTGTGAACGTGCCATTTTCCCTGAGATTGATCCCCCTAACCCCGAATTACAGTACAGTGTACCCACAACGTCACTTTGACGCTATTCTGCTGGGTGAACTACTTTTAGACGGCGTGAATGCGGAGCCTGAGCGACCGTGCTCGAGCGCACACACTCGCGTGCGCGCACGCGCGCCCCCACGAAATGTTACACACACGCAGTTGCGTCGCCCGCACGTGCGCACGCACGCACACGTGAATGATGAGACACGTCTGGGTAAACATGTTCAAAGAATATCGTCTTACACTCTTGGAAAGTAACAAGAGACTGGCTTCCGTGTTTATTCTAAATGGGAGAGAGGACAGGCCTCGGATGTTGCAAGCTGTCATATCTGCCGTGGGGGTTGATTCAGTGTTTTGTGGTTTGGAAGGGTCATCATGGCGACACCTGTCAGTAATTACTGAATGACTCGATTTCCGAATATCTCATCGAAACGCAAAGTCACCTCTTCGGATTGGGCGTCAGAAAATCGCGTCATCGGTTTTACGGAAGATAAAATTAAAAAGGATTTGGTGGAATAGGACGCAGTTGACATCAAATACACAGCCCCTGGAGAACTCAGATGCCCCCGTGATTTCTAACTGCTACCAAGCATACAGCCACCACTTTAAGAATTCGAAAAACGGTGAGGTGCCAGTGAGTCGATTCCCTAGCAGAGATGGAGAAATTGCACGTGGATGTTGTACTGATAGCGTATGTTAAATTGCGTAGATCATTTTTGTGCCCCTCTAATTAGTTAAATGAACGCCTTGTAAAAACAGTGACACATTGGAACAACCATGAGTTGAGTCATAGCCCAGATGTGCTTCGGAAATAAAACTGCTTTTCAACCGAGTCAAATTACAATCAATTGCTCACAGAGCACCAAGCAAAATGAAGAATAAACAATGGAACCTGCACTGATTCCTCTCCACTTTATATTCGCTGATTACTTCATCAGGCCATCACCTATCTGCATATTGAATCCACACATTACCTATTTTTCTCAATAGCCTCCTATTACTACTACTGCTGCCACCACCACCCAGAACTATTTATCTTCATTAGTATTGGTTTTTTTATGAGTTAATCCCGTGTAGGCATAAGCTTTAATGGCACTAAGTGGTTCAATTAACGAGAATCCCAAATTTTTTTTAGAAAATAACTAGGTAACCTGATACACATATTTGGCAATTCATGAACACTCAACGCACGTTCAAAGTTTGTCTCCCTTACTTTTTAACCTTTTGTGGTTTTAACTTCTTGATTAATGCACAGAACCACAAACAGAATCAGAAGAAAAATCTCCTAATATCACCCAGGGACATTTTTTTAACATTTCAGCTGCCGAATTCACACTTTAATGGACGAACCATACAGGCACTTTGAGAGAAGGCGTTCATGTAAAGGCAGTAAGATTCATTTTGGAAAAAGTGGTCTGCTCATTATACGAGCTCTACCACTTCGCGACCATTAGGCGTGCAAATCACAACACGTCTACCTGTGACCGCAATCTCTGTCCTCGACAACAGGGAAAAAGTTTGGGATCGAATTTTTCCAGACAACCACTACTGCATCAATGGAGTGGCAAACGCACAGTTGAGGAACAGTTTCGACAGTGGGCCAGCCTACATAGGACCGCACCTCCCGTCTCAGATAGAAACGCATGCTCACCAAGTGCATCGATTCCAATAAATTTCGAGAAAGTCCAACAGGTGGCGCACTTACACACGTTAGTACATTATGTGATTAACTAAAACTTGCAATCTCAAATGTGACAGAACTAGTTTCGCCAAAGATGCACCTACGGATTTATTAAGTTACCTGACTTTTACGTAAACTGATAACATGGAAAGCTATTCACTAAATCAATGCCGGCCTGAAAGACGGTCCTCTGTGCTGCTGTCGATGATACGAGGGGTCTCCAGTGCCGGTTGATCCGTCTTTGTGCGATTTGGCTCGAATAACCTTGTCGGATCAAAACCTAACAACTGGCCGTCCTATTATTACACCTTTTCTATTACTTCTTCAATTTCCTTATTTTGGTTGCCTTCATTTACCCCTTTCATTTGATAATACCATCGTCCTCCCTTTTCACATCATCTGAATGTCTGTGATTCTTTTTTAACATTATTAAGTGCATTTTCATGGAGGTGCTAAATCGACCTCATCTAAACCAAACTGAGACAAGCAACCCACGGGAACCGGCGCCTGTACGACTTTCAAAATTTACCATTAGGTTGGGCTCTTAAACACATCTAAACGATTCATCGGCATAAGCCTAGGTGGAAAAGCAAGCTATTTATTCTCTGAAAAAACGCTCCACCATCTCATGCTTCTCTTTACTCTTCCACCAGCTAGAAGCAAATTGTTGAGGTTTCCTGGTTTGTATTATTGTTTCGATGTGAACAGGCACCTCATGACTGGGTGGCGGACCAGGTAACGGGGGCAAGAGTAAAAACGAAATAACATGGTTTAGGGGGTGGTAAACATGATGGTTGGGATAAAGAATGAACCAATTGTTCACATTTTACCGAGCTATAAATTGCGGGGTTATTGGTAGAAGCACTCTCATGTGGGCTTGCAAGTTTGAGCTATCAGGGAGTCGCAGCAGCAACAGAAGCGGAGACCAGAGTTGAGCCCAGAGTTGAGTCCGTGTCTGGATGTGGCGGGCAAAACTTTTCTGGTACCTTGAAAACACACGCACACACAACCATGTTGAGAAATAATTAAATTTACTACCACCAATAATCCATTCTAGTAAAGCCCTCAATATCAAGTCACTGGTGTTGCTGAATGCGTCTGAAAATATTTTATTTAAGACAAGCTTTGAATTTCGCACATGTCAGCTGAATGCCCCTCGTACTTTAGGTATTTTCACCATAAAAAGTAGTTCAACGTGTTTAAAAATGCACTGGATCAGCCACACCGCAGGCTTTACAGGTAGGTGGTAACTACAATGTACACACGAACGAAAAACGGACGACTACTAATTGACAAAGTGGCAACCGAAATAAGTAGTACCAACCGACAACACAGTCATAAAAAAACCAATAATGCAAGTGGACCATAAACGACTTAAACTACAAGTCAAATTCAAGCGGAAATGCTTGGCTAGGTAGTAGTTTACTTTCACCATAGAGGCTGCTTTGAATAGCGTTGTAAGGCCCATCCGAGGAGCTGAGTAACTTTTCCTTCTGCCTATTAGTGCTTCTGGCTTCGTGGCTTTAACTCGCAAGCAATCACGTTCTCTGTGTGTACTAATAGCGGGTTTTCTGCGTTCCAGCGCAATTTACATGGAACAATTGTTCTATTTTTTTCATGTGTGCGTGCCCTTCGGACGTATATAATATACATTGGTGTACTTTGAACCTACAGTATGTCCGACATTTGGGTTTATGCGACGTTATATAATTTCATGACTTGCTAGCGAATTCTGACCCCTTGTAACCTTTCACCATGCGTTGCCTAATTAATTGTTTCGATTGCATGCGGACCTGCCACCACACACTCTTAGCATTCGCTGTGACAAAACGATGAAAACGACGATGCACTAATGAAGTTTAATAACTAAACCCGTGTTAATGAACGGGCATCATCATGTAGACACGTTTTCATAGGTCCTGCGATCTCTAAATAGCTGATCTCGTCGCGAATTGATCGTTTTCGTGAAGACTGACCGTAGTAAAATGACATTATCTGACTGACTCCCTCGACGTGAAGTTGCCTCGTGGAGTTGGCCCGACGAATGCCCATCTCGTTTGAGACTGACCGATGCTGCAAACTCCTGTGACATGTTGACTACTTGGCTCAGTCTTAAAAAACGCGTACTCATGATACGACGGTCTACGCTTTCCAAGTTTTGGTGGAATTCACTTTGTTGAATGACATGCTTGCCTTGTTCGTTTAAAATTATGACCATTATCCTACAATTATGGCTACGTTATGTGTAACTGACGATCATTAATTCGAATGTAAAGAAATTAAACTAAGTAGTTAAACAACGGGTGAATGTAATCTGGATGTTTCGGCTAATCAGATTACGCCTCGTTATATTTCTTAATTAGGTGACGGCCCGGTAGTGCACTGTGTTCACTGGGATTTAGACAATCGTACAATTTGTTGCCGTTTAGGAAACAGAGTTTATTGGATTTCAAACAGGATCTCTACTCCCCAAAAGCGTAAATTCTATGTTATCCCTAACGGATTGAGAAGAGTTATAAACTAGGTGCTTGACCAGAAGTGGTTGGAAATAGCTGCAATGCTTGGCGATGATACAGTGCTTGGCACAATTGTGCCTGTTTTACTTTGGTTCACTGGATGAAATAACTTTGGCCACAGGAAAAAAATATACCTAGCGGAGATAGCATATTCACGATTACAGTTGACATAGAAACTAGAAGGTGAGTTCTGCCAGTTAAATTAATACAACGCAAAAAATATCAGCAGTATTGTGGTAAGGCTAATTTTGTGTTACAGACCGAACTTTTGAAGTGTCGGTGGGTCTTTCAAGATCAATAAAACATGCAAAACCAGTTTCTTTCATACACGATGTCGCGTGATCAGTTACAATGCCACTTCTTTTAATACCTCTTCTGCCTGCCTTGGTAGCCACTTCTGTATTAAAAGACTAACTTTCTGTGCTATTTTCACTGCATTTGAGTAAATAGTGTGCCAATCAAGTGACTCCGATAGCGAAAATTCTTTGGGAATGTGCAGAAAGGAGACAAAAACAAGACTATCACTTACCAGCCCGTTATTCATTTCCCCGACAGTGTTTGCCTTCATTGACCCCTCAGCATTTCTGTTTTCTGGCTCCTCCTCCTCCTGCTCCACATTCTCGCCCGACGTTTGCTGCTGCGCAGGTACGGACAGCTTCTGGTGATTGTTCTGTTGTTGCACCAGCAAGTCTTTGGCTGTCGACTGGAACAGCAAGACAGCACACATTCCATTTTCATCCAGATGTGTGGGATTGGGTGGCGAAATACACGATTCTCCTCCAAAGGACGGTTCTTCATCATCGCGTGACACTGCTGGGCAGGATTTCTTGTGGTAGTAATAGGAAGCACCCCACCGATAGCGTTTAGCACATCCTGGGCACTGGTATTTCCCTTCAGCACTGTGCTTTCCCTCCATGTGCTGCTTCAGTGATAGGCGTGAGGAGAACTCTTTACCGCACTGACCACACGAATTAATACTGCTTTCTTGTGGCTCCGACGAGGGTGAATTTCGGTCGCAGAACCGTTGGAAAAACTCTGGTTTGCACTTTTCTAACAGAGTAATCATGTTTGCTAGGAAAAATGCAGAATTGGGCTCCTCTAGTGATGGTGGAGGGATGTTCAAAACCCGTCCAAAAAGTGGACAGGTTGCTATATGACCCAAGTACGGCGACAAACCCTCGAAGACAGTTCCACAAACGCAGGTGACCGGTGATGGGGTTTCGTTCACAGAACCACCATCAGCACCGAAACTGGGCGTTTGGGTCTCAGGTGAAGCGTAAAATGGTAAAATTGGAGGAGGCGGAAAAGGAGGCGGAGGCGGTGCGGGAAATCTTAAAAGGTCGGGGTTAGCTCCTAACGGAAGGGGAAACTGCGGAAGGTGCAGTGATGGGGCATTTAGCAGTGGACCCGCATCCTTCCTCTCCCATGGTCTGGCGAATGGAGGTGGTGGTGGCAGCAGGAGAGAAGGCGGTATCGAGGGACGAGGCTCCTGCGATGGAGTGCTGAGCAGAAAGGGGTTTTGGATTGTGATTGGTGTTGAAGGTATGGGAAACTGGTATGCGGGTGTTTGTGAGTTGCGAGGGACAAAACCACGGCTTTGTGCAGGCTCTGTAGTTCTTGCACCTGTGGAAGCACCGGTCGATGCTGTAGCAGGTCGTTTCTTGCAGGTACGCTGGTGATGATAGAAAACAGGAGGCCAGCGGTACTTCTTTGCGCAATATCGACACGTATACTTTGGGGGATAGTGAATATGCATGTGCTGGTCGAGAAGCGCTTTCGACTTAAACGATTTCACACAGTGACAGCACTTAAAAGGGCGTGAAAGATCGGCATGTGGATGAGAGCTGACAAGAGGCGGTTTCGTAACTTTGCAATGTGCAGGGAGATGTTTTTTGATGAAATTGTTATCAAAGGTTGGGTGCTGCAGTTTTTTAGGTGCTGCCGTAGGACACAGTAGGTAATGACTCAAAAATGCGGGAAGCCATTCAAACTCCACTCCACAAGAACATGAGTAACTTCCATAAACCCCATGTGCCGATTCAAAGTGGCGCAGCAATTGCACATGACTCACAGCGTTCACCTTGCACTCTGGACAAGTCAATGTTGGGCTTGAGGTAGTAAGAACCGTTGCCGTCGAGCCGTGCTCTCGAACTCGAAGGTCCAACGCGTCTGTTAGAGGTGGTGGGGGAACCTTAACGAAGTCGGGTTTTATTGATTGTTGTGGTTGGAAGCTCAAGTCAACAGCGTTTTCTGTTGTAATGACAAGTTCAGTACACGTCTGGGCGTGTAGGACAAACTCGGCAATTCCGACGAAAGTCCGTTCACATCGGCACTTCAGAGGTTGAAACTCTTGTATCCGTTGTGGCTTCCCTGTTCCTTTAACAACTGGAGGACTTATCGAGGGCCTTTTGGGAGAATCCCTGCTAGTTTCTACCGGCCGTGACGCTGCATACATGTTTGAAGCGTTCTTCTCGATGGCGTCATTGTTTACGTGCATTGTTTCACTGGATGTTGCTGCAGTTAATGATAGCATGACACTCGCACACAAACGGATCTGTCGGGATTTGGACAATGTGGGTATAACAAAACTCCCTCCCCTGAGCGTAATACTTTCCGTATATTTACGTGCGCGCACACCTACACGCAGCTCTCACCCCAAGCGACACGTGGTTGGTCGGCTTCTTACGCGTGTGTTTACTTCTTATTACGCGTGTATGGGTAGCAAGTAAACTCTGTGTGGTGATTGGGTAAGGGTTTAATGTGGCCGGTGCTGATTGGAGACACCGGCTGCTATGATTGTGCATGCACGCACCACAGCATGAAAGCATTTTCGCGCAAACGTCCGCGCGGGCTTAATTTCTTTTCTTCTAGTCGCTGAGGCATTTTCTTCCCCCAAAGGCTACCTGGATGAAAAATTGAACACGATCTGGACGTCGATTTGGCGTTAAGGTGGCATGTCTATAGCAGGAGCCCTCCCTGCCTTAGGCTAAGACCATAAGACCTAAAATCCGTGCTGACAGTTTTTGTAGATGCTAATGAAAGCCGCATGTCGTTCACTTCGATTCCATGCTATGTTTAATGTCCAGTTCGCCACAAGCCAAAGTTATTGCATCAACAGCAGACAATGGGAATAAATCGTGTGCCATGTCTCTCCTAAATGTTCTCTAATCAAATCAAGTAGATTCGAAAATAGTCCCGATTGTTTAAAATGTTTTAGCAATACAAATGTAGGCCATTATAATTTGTAGTGTTCCTTAGGTTCAGTAAAAACATTTAGAACAGACCAATGAAGCAATGGTAGGTTCCTCGAACCAGGCTTAAGTATTCTTCCATGAATTTGGGGTGCAATAGAAGTGGAATGGAAAAGTGAGCATAATTAACACGTGCATTATTTTAATGTCTGGTTACTAATTGCCCAGCTTCCAGAAACAGAATGTTATATCATAAGATGTCTACTTTTTGCAAAGGGAACTCAATGGTAAAGCTTAGAACATTTGCTGGTTACATTATTTCTGACAGGTTTACATCAAAACGGCAAAACATCAAAATCGAATCCAAGCCATTGTTGTATCGGATGCATCGGAATGATTTCTGCATCATCGAGTATAACGTAACTACATTGACTCTGAGCAGAATATTGCACAAAGGAGAAATTTATATAACTCTTGATAAACTACCCTTGCAGTGGATACTTTGAAGAATCCAGATGTTGTGTAGTTTCCCAAATTAGACTCCATTATTTTGCATCCCAATCTGTTTTATATGGTTAACTAAAAGGTACAGTTGCAATGAACAGATTGCGATCTGACAAATTGGCTACTTGCCTTAATAATATACCCTGCAAGTCTTTCGTGTTTACTGAGAGCCCACACATGAGAAAATTTGGAATTTTGGCGCTGGAAGAGTTACACGCTGGTGTTTGAATTCGACAGTGACGAAGAGAGTGCGGTAGCATCCAAGCGACTCCCGAAATTTGTGCTGTGTACGGTGAAAATGCAACCCCAACAAGGACAATACAGTGGTGCTTTTCCGTTTGAAAATAGAACCATTAACTTAACTGAAGTCGGCTTCTCAAGCCTGATGAACGCCAGCTGAGACAACTTCCCCACAGATTTCCGTGTCAATCAACAAAAGACTTTAGCTAAACGGTTGGCGACCCCATCAACGTCGTCGCTTCATAATGCCTATCCTCACGTGGCTTAAATAACAAAGTCGCAATATGAACTCTAAAAGGGGGAAGCCCGGCTAAATCAACCATATTCTCCAGACTTGATTCCATTGGAATTGAATTTTTTCCCGATCATTGTCAGAGAGGTTTCGTTCAGTAATGACGTGGAATCAAATACATAATTCTAAGATCGTTATGAAGAGGTGGCAGGTAACCACGTAGGATGCGTTATTGGTTACGTTAGATGCTGTTTTTAATTAAGGTCAAATTGCCCACTATGTAGTGACTGGAATTAAAACCGCAATAACCTGTTCCTCAAACCATTAGTTCAGTAAGTGCGCTCCACAGATCCGTCCTTCTGCCGCCTCCCCCTTCAGGGTGGTGGGGGTTGACAGGAGCACTGTGCGCATCGCGGGTTGGTGGAGGTCTCCCAAATCCGAGCGCGATGCCGTGTGTACCCGAATAGGTGCAAAATACTCCCGGATGTGTACCAAAACTTCAAACAAACATGGTCTCTAAGGCGTGGTCGTGCATTTAATGGGTGGTCACTACAACGAGAGAGCGTACAACGCGTCAAGTCGTAAATCTGTGGTATGTGTGTGTGCGTGTGTGCATCAGCCTATGTGCGAGATTTCAGAGTAATGCATTATGTGGACATCGAAATATGCACACTGAGGCCTAATTGGGACAAATGTGCAGGGCACACCAAATGTCGCAATTCAAATTTAAGTTTATTTTAATTACAATGGTCACCAAGTCTGTGTAACAGCTCCACTGGCGCAGTGTAACGAAACCGAGAGCGTGCATATTGGGAAGTAACTGTGGGTTTCCTGTTCGCGTCTCGCGAAAGTTGCCAGGTAATGTAAAAGTGGATAATGCAAGCCCATGTGTGGTGGGTGGTTGTGCGGGTGTGTTAAGGAAACTAAGGCCTGCGTGAAATTGCAATTTCGTTTTTTTTTCCAGAATCGGAAATTTGAGTTCTCCACTCCGTTCTCTTGAGAGCAAAACTACTGTTTTACTGAGCTGTTTTTATCCATTAAACGATTAAATGGGAGCTTTTTTGCACCGACAAAATATGGTAAATCCAGAAGCTGGCGTGGTCGATCAAACTTCTATTGCGGCCGTATCTAGATTGCAGTATTCATTCGCTCAAATGAAAACCTATGGGTTATAGCCAACAATCTTCTCAAGATATGTTTGGAACTTATTACCAAAATTTCGAATAAATTGGTTAAATCGCAAATGCGAAATTGGTTTAGATCATAAAAAATAATTTTTACAAGCTTATAGATGACGTTGCCACGCCAAAGGTTCTTGGGGGCCCCTAGCCGAAATCCAGAAAGGCTCGTTTTTCTCTGGCTTCTCGTGGTTGCTTCACATAGTGATCTCACAGTAAACAGTGAATGTTCTACACTAGGCTTCACCGGCAGCGTAGACACCTGAACTGCTATTAACATAATTGGTAAGTCGACTTGATCACAGTTAATGGCTAAAATGCTACCCCGCCTAAACTGTCCTAATTTGTTGATGATTTTTTATCAGGAAATTCCTGAAATTGGTGATCGAAAACGGGTTGAATTTTGCCTATTCAATCAATGGTGTTTTATGTCAATTAAACACTGGCGTAGCTTTCCTTTTAACAGGTGCATTAAATTTAATTAGAAAAAATTGCGTTTCCATTTCTAATTAACGGCACCTCAGTGGAACATATTATCGCCCTCGCATGACTTCGACGATGTTTTGATAAGGCATCTGAATTCACTTCCTCCTTCCCCATGTGTGATTTGGGGGGGGACGTGTAGAAGTAGTCCGCATGACGTCTCGGCAGGGGTTAGAGCGCGCCTCGGGTTAAGCAAATATAGGGCGTTCTGCACCGCCACACCTCCCCTCCAGTTAGCCACTTGATCGAGGCGAAACCCCCAACTCCCCCGACTAACCAACACATGAGGAACCAACACAGGAGATCGGATGAAGATGTAGCGCACGATTCCTCCCCCGTTTTCCCACAGGGTCCACGTGGACTAGTCCGCAACGGTAAGCACTGGTTGAAATGGCGGGTAAAATTTAACGAAAATATTGGGGAAACTTCATTTTTACTAAAACGCAAAGGTAACCAGGAGAAATCACTGAAATGGGACTGAAATGATATTGGCATGGTTTGGTGTAGCACACCTAATCGGCAGTTTGAAAGCCAGGAAACCTCCAATTTTGCTCAAACAGAGTGTGCGATATTCTGATTTTCTCCTGCGCGAAACACCTTTCCACGTTTCATAGCATTAAGAGATTCCTGCAAAATAAATAAAACTTTCTGCCTCCAACTACTCGATATTAGCAGCCTTTAATCGATTTATTGACTGACAGGAGGAGAAACTGTAGCTCATGTTGAATTTTAACCAGCTACGTGTTGTAAAAGTACAGGTAGCTTGGTGATTGCTGGTATGTAAGCCCAAATGAAAAGGGACTTCGGCTAACTCTACCTAATGGCGAGCCAATTAAACAGCAAAGATTGTATCCCCTGCAACCTCTTAATGGGTAGGACTTCAAATATAGCTGTGACGACAGTTAAATCCATTGCCCGAATTTGGTAAGTGTTGAATGATCACAAATTCCAGAACAGTGTTTTATAAAAAGAAACTTTGCTTTTCGACAGATCTGTTCAATGTCGAAAAGCACTTCCTTTTGTGGGATATAAACTACAACAACACTTAAAGTAACATAACTCTAAAAACAAATAGACTCCACAAGCGGATATTTAGCACAATTAATATTTTTCAAGACCAAAGTTTCCTTCAGGTCTTAAAAATGCATCCTATCTCAAGTCGCCCTACTTGCACTGCCTTATGGCAAAGCACTTGGATGCTAAGGCGTCTAGAGGTCAAATCCGGCACATTTTTGCTGTCTTATGTATGAATAATGAGGTCCAGCGGGTGAGGTCAAGGTGACAGTGGTTCTAGCAAGTAATGGATGCGGAGATTTCATTAATGTGGCATTGTATGACTGAAGGATGGGAAGGAACTTCGGATACCACTAGAAATAGGTCAGCTTAGGACATTGTAGGCATTTTACATGCGAACAACAGTTAAGTAAAACCATGGCATGCCGAACCGTTAGTTCATATCTAGCACTACGATGTCAACATGCATAACGTTTAATAATCGAGCTAAACACACAGCAACGAAGTTTGTGTCATCCAAATGACCGCAAACATTGCATAAATGAACACACTTGGGTAAAATTAACGTGAGAAGAGATTAAACAACGCTTTAAGATGATTAAAACTTGAGAATTAACCGATGCTCGCTGAATTTCTCGCCCAATTTGATAATCGA